TATGGGGGGAGGCCAGGGAAAAGCTGCTTTTATTTACTAGAATACACACTTGCCTTTTAGGAATGCAAACAGACATATCAATGGCAATGTTTACAGTAAACAGTGAGATCGTCAGGTTTGGGGAGTTTGCTTTAGGCCCATTCTTGGCAAACTGGCTCTTGAGCCACTCTTGGCTCTTTGGCCCCTGGAGTGTGGCTCTCCCACAAAACACGACCTGGGTGAGTCTATTTTGAAGAAGTGGCGTTAGAGCGTCGGCCAGAGCGTTGGCCTGCGGACTGAAAGGTCCCGGGTTCGATTCCGGTCAAGGGCATGTACCTTGGTTGCGGGCACATCCCCAGTGGGGGGTGTGCAAGAGGCAGCTGGTCGATGTTTCTCTCTCATCGACGTTCTGACTCTCTGTCCCTCTCAATTCCTCTCTGTGTAAAATCAATAAAATATATTTTTAAAAAATTTAAGTTTAAAAAGTTGGCTCTCAAAAGGAATTTTAGTCTTGTACTGTTGATATTTGGCTCTGTTGACTAATGAGTTTGCCGACAACTGCTTTAGGCCATTGAGTCAGCAGTAGGTAATAAAATGCAAATATTCACCCTGTGAATATCAGAGGAGAGCCCAAACCCAGCCTTCTGTGGACTCCTTGCATTTATATTAATGACTGTTGGTCTTGGTTTCCACACAGGAGAGGCTCTCTTGTCCCCTGAGTGCTGCCTGCTGGGCTGGGCAGCCTGGGAGAGTCCTGGGGGCCCAGAGCCCTGCACAGCCCCAGCCCCTTTCCCAGCCTCCCTCCTGCAGCCCAGGCCACTCCCTGGGACCTGCCTGTGACAAGGTCGGGCCAGGGACAAGGCGTTAGAGGAACGAAGGGAGTGGCCCAGAAGAGATGGGAAAATGAGGACCGAGAAGCCTGGACACGGCCCCCCTTTGTCACATCATTTGCAAAATGCTAACTTCCAGTTCTTTCCAGGATTTTCTGACGCCATTAAACGTGTGCTGCCTCCATACTCTTCAGAGGCTGAAAGCAATCAGTCCTCCTGCGGGTCTCAGGCGCCTTTGGCCCGGAGACAAATAGGAAGGCTCTCATGTCACATGTGGGCTTTAATTAGCAGTGATGTGAAGGAGACTGGAAGCTGCATTCTGAAAACTCAGCTCCGGGTTTAGCTTTCAGTAGAAATGCTCGCAGCGCAGATAGGCTCCGGAGAGGCTGGCGCTGGCTGCAGTGAGCTGTCCCAGCCGGCCGCCTGCTCAGGGGACTCTGTCTTTTGTTTCTGCCAGGGGTGAGTGAGTGCCTTCCGATTCAGGGATTGCTAACTCAGAAGAAAACGACCTTCCTAAAAACTTAAAGCATAGGCTATGTGACCGTTCCACAGAGCTAGAGCTGAGGTCAAAGGGAGCGTTGGTTCTGTGTCGGGTTCACCTTCCATGCGTTTCCCTTGGTCCTGGGCTGTGCAGACCCAGGGCCCAGGCAGCTCTGCGCCAGCACGGCCTGCCTTATGCTAGATGCTAGTCCCTGAGAACGTAACATGGGATCGTGCTCTTATGAAGCAAACCGGCCTGAGCAGGGAGAAGCAAGGCCTTCTGATCAGCACCCTGTGCCATGGTGCTGCTGAGGCTGGCCGTGGGCATCAGTGGGCTCTCCATCGTTCGGCCTGAGCCTACTGCCGGTTCCCCACGCCTCTGCTGCTGTTCCTCCAGTGGGCTTCCTTGTGGGACTTTATCACACGTGTAGCTGTTTTACCAAAATGTACCCCTGTGTCTGTTACTCGGCTGTGTCTCCCGTTGTCAGCTGTGCGATTGTTTAGCCTCTTACTGCTGCAGTCCCATCACGGCCAGGCATGGCCCTCGGCTCTTTGATAGAACTTTGTTCCAGAGATAAGGAGCTACATTTCTTTTTAAGCTGAGGCCTACACTGACCTGGGGAGGGATGAGGCCCAGCTTAGCCTGTGTCTCATGGAAACACGTGATTGTAGCATGTTCTGAACCTCTGATAGCTGCTGAAAACATGGTTTGTTATGTATCAGAAGGGACCCAGTCTGCTTCTCCAAATGGATGACAATGGGAGAATGTATTCATGTAACTTTTTAAATAAAGGCTGGAGGTTCACGCTCCTGTGTCCTCACCAGGCCCAGTGACTGAGCCCCGGCCAGACCTGCTGTGCCCTATGCCAGGGCTGGGATGTGAGCCCTGTGGCAGGGCTCCTTCCCTTGGAGCTGGTGCCTGGTGCCTCCCATCAAGTCCTGGTCTGTAAACTAAACGCCATCACTGATCGGCGCCAGGGATTCTGTGAGCCAGTCCTGGGAACTGTCAGCCACTTGGTGCTGTCAGCGGTAGGGAACGGGTCGGAATTGGTTAGCCTGGGTCAGTGATGGTCACAATGCAGTCTGTAAAATATTTTAAAATGTTTTCGTGAAAGATCACTTTGGGAATGAAGTTAGAAGTTTGGGTTTTGTTAGTGAATAACTAAAAGGGACTAAGATAAAGGGCAATGGGGCGTCAGTCCTGTGCAGCAGGCCCTGGTTGCCTAGGGAGTCGCAAGTAAACATCCTCCGTCAGCGCCCTGCTGCTGGGTGTGGCTGGGTGCCACCAGGAGCTGAGTGGGAGGAGCCCATCCACTGGCTCCTGGTGACCGAGCCTCCTGGGACCTGTTCTGAGCCACACGGAAGGGTGGGGTCGAGTAGCCGGGGAGCGAGGCCTCTGAAAGGTACGGAGCAGCCACCTGGGCGAAGTCATGTCTCACAGGGGTCAGAGGGCTCAGCTGTGTGGCTGGGGCCAGGGAAGAGAGACTCATGCGTACTGAACGTGTGTTCTGTTGGGCTGGTGCGCTAGGTCCCAGGAGGAACCAAGCAATGTTGGAGTGTTAGTTAAAATGCAGGAGTTTTGTGGTATTTGTTGAAATTAGTAGGAATAGTAAAATTTTTATGTATAAACACTGGCCTTTATTTCTATGGGTACTTCATTTTCTAAAGAATATTTAGATTGTTTCACAGAAACTGGTATGAATTGAAGTACATTTGTCTTAGCTTATACAAATCAGTCATTTTACTTTTAAAATTCAATTTATTTAAACTAATAAAAACTCCAAACAGTTCACCCATTTTCCCACTTCCCATCTCTGGCAACCACCATTCTGTTCTGTAATATTTTTGTTTATTCATTTAACATTTCAAAAAATCAATTTTCTGTAAGAAAGATGGTTTGGTGTGAGTTTTTCTGTCTGACGTCACTTAGCAGAGTGCGGAGTAGCCCATGGTGCTGTCGATGTGACTCCACTGTGTACACACCCCTCTGTGCTCGTTCGCTCATTGCTGACGGACACTTGGCTGCGTCCAGGTCTTGGCTGTTGTAAATGTGTTGCAGTGAACATGGGTACGCAGTCTCTTTGAGTGAGTGGTTTCGTTGTTTTTTTTTTGGATAAAAACCCAGAATTGTTATTGCTGTGGCAGCTCTAGTTGTGACTATTTGAGGAGTTTCCCTGTCGCTGTCACGGTGGCTGCACCAGTTACATCCCAGGAGCAGTGCACGTGAGTTTCCTCTCCTCCGTCCTCGCCAGCTCGGAGCTCTGGGCTCCGTGGCGAAGCCTGCCTGCAGGTGTGAGTGGCATCGCACTGCCGTGCCGGCTCCACCCCGAGGACTAGTGGTGTGAGCACCTGGCCACTTGCTGGTCGGCCACCCCTACACCTTGGGGAACATGTCTCTTTGGGTCCTCTGCCCACTTTTCATTTGGATTGTTTGTTTTGCTGCTGAATTGTATGAGTTCTTTATATATTTTGGATACTTACCCCTTATCAGTTATGTGACTTGTTAAATGGTTTCTCCCATTTGGTTGGTTACCTTTTCATTTTGTTGATAGAAGCTTTTTCATTTGATGTGGTCCCACCTGCTTGCCTTTGCTTTTGGAGTTATACCCAGACTGTACCAGCAGCTTTTTGCACCAGTAGGTTTTCTTTCACGGTTTCAGGCCGTGCCTTCAGGTCTTCATGTTCGGCGTCAGACAGCAGTCCCGCGTCCCTGTTTTGCACGAGACGGCCCAGTCTTCCCAGCACGTTTCCTGGAGAGACCGTCCTCTCCCGACTGCGCGTTCTCTCCTGTGACGTAATCGGTCGTGTGTGCGAGCTCTATTCCATTCCTCTATGCGTCTGTTTTTATGCTGGTGCCATACTGTTTTAATTACTGTAGCTTTTTTATATAGTTGGAAATCAGGGGGCATAATGCCTCCAGCTTTGTTCTTTCTCAAGACTGCTCTGGCTATTTGGGGGTTTTGGTGGTTTCATACAAATTTTTGGATTGTTCTATTTCTGTAGAAATCAGTCATTTTGTCCAGGATGGTTTTTATTTTTACTTTTATCTTCCTTAGTTTATTCAGCAACAGATTGTGATTCACATTACTACTATGTGCATTAAAAAAAAAGTTGGAGCAACTGTGTGTGTGTGGGGGGGGGGGGGGGGGATCTGGGGAATAGACAGAGGAAAGGTTGAATCATTCCAAAGAAATCTAGGTGACAACCTGAAAAATAATGTGTTCAACTCAACACTTTTTAATTTGAAAATAATGTTTTCTTTTGGGGGAAAATAAAGTACAAACAATGCCTAAAGCTGCTTCTGGCTCTGGAACTTTGCTGTCTAGGGGCGCACAGGGGTGCTTCTTGACTGTGCAATAGAGTCTACTTAATTAACAGCAACGAACAGCTATTTCAGAAGCCTGAGGACACATGACCCCTCCAGGAATTTAAAAATAGGTGTGAAATGGGTCCTCGGTCTTTGGAAAGTGCCCCAGTTTTCATAATTACACGTCAGTTGATGTGGGTCTCCCTGGGTGCATGAGGGATCCGTCTTTAGGGACTGAACACAGCACAGTGCTCCTGCACTCTCTGTAATTATGAGAAACCTCTCCTTTGTCTTAGAGATAAGAAACAGAATTGCTCATAGACGTGGTGGCAGGCCCCCTGTGTGCTCTCACCTAACCTGACTTGCTTTTTCCACCTTCTGCAGTATGAGTTGAGACCGTGAACATGGACTTTTCTCGGCTCCACATATACACGCCGCCTCAGTGTGTGCCCGAGAACACTGGCTACACATATGCACTCAGGTGAGCGTGTGTATCTTGTCACTCCTCAACTGCTATTGAATTAACGGGGCCTCTGTGGGGCTGAAACGTTATGTTTAGAAAGAGAAAGTATCTATAAACTTGGCTACACTATTTTTTTATGAAATTACCTAACTGACGAGGACATTGTGAGGGTGTTTTAAAAACGGTGTGTTGCTGATGACTCAGTGATGAGTCATTGCACATGAAATGCTGTTTAACTCCACCCGGAGGGCTGTGCCCGGGACTGAATCTTGGTGGTTATATCAGGGCCGTGTGACTTACATTATTACATTAACGTCTGGTCTCCTATCCAGCAACTCTCCTGGGAGGACTGCCTCTGAGAGAGGAGGAACCCCAGAGGGTGGGGCGGGGCAGCCAGGGCCGGAGCCCCCTCCCCAAGCTCAGTGCTCTGCTCTTGCGCTACTCTGACCCCAGTCTGCACTTAGAAGATGCTGACTTGTCCTTTGCTTGTCCAGTTTACCAAACAGAAAGGATGATTGACGGGACACTTAAGTATGTGCCAAAGGACGGTCACTGGATGGTTGGGATTTGATTGGCAGTTAGATAGCCTTTGCACCTTGGCGGGACTTGCGCACAGGAAATGGCTCTTCTAAGACTAAGGGTGATGGAACTTTAAGGACATGGGAGGGTATTTTAAGGACAATGCTTTTTAAGGGCATTAGTCAAATCTCACATTTAATGATTGTGTTTCTATTCACACTTTCCATAGTAACATAGTCTTTATTTTGTTTGTTAAAAGTCCTGTAGTATTGCCCTAGTCTGTTTGGCTCAGTGGATAGAGTGTCGGCCTGCGAACTGAAGGGTCCCAGGTTCAATTCTGATCAAGGACACAGGCCCGGGTTGGGGGCTCGATCCCCAGTGGGGGACTTGCAGAAGGTAGCCGATCCATGACTCTCTCTCATCATTGATGTTTCTATCTTCTTCCTTCCTCTCTGAGATCAATAAAAATATATATTTTTTAAAAGTCCTGTAGTCTTTTATAAGAAATTGAGTGGGCCAGCTCAAGTAAACTATCCTTATTCTATATTGTGGAGCATAATTATTATTCTCGCTAATTTATTTTTAGCTTTTATATCCCATTAAACAGTTTTTAAAAGATGCTGTGTCTGGGTCTCTGTGTGGGGACAGCGGCACTGTGCATTCAGTAACTGGCAGCCTTCCCTGAGGTGCAAGTGGGTGGTGAGGGTGGCTGAGCCTTAAGGACGAAGGACGGCCGGTGGTTCTGCAGGCTGTGCTGGGTCTTTGTCGAGGGCAGTGGAGGCAGTGGCGGGTTTTATTGAGGAGCAGGGTGCCCAGGTCTGTGCAGGAAGGAATGAGGCTGCGTGTGGAGGAGGGGGTTCCCAGACGTTGTCCTCTTGGCCTTGCCCTCCAGACCCTCCTCGTCCTGCTCCCGCACCCGTGGCTGATGCCCTGACCACTCTCCAGGTTGGTGGGCTGTTGTCCGAGCTCCTGGTGCCGGCTCTGTATGCAACGCCAGCTTCACGCTGCACAGTCTCCGTGGGCACCAGAAGGCTCCTTCCCATCCTGGCCGCTCTGCATTGCATGGCAGCGTTTTCCTACTGGGAAACTGCCCTGCCCTGCCTCCTGCCTGGCACCAGCAGCCTCGCCCCTGGGCTCCCCTTCTCGCCCCCGTGCGTTGTCTTGGAGCAGGTCTCTGAAGGGGGAGACTCAAGCATAGCTCTGCAGAGCCCTGGCCAGTAAACCACTCCCAGCAGCTCCCATAAGTCCGGCACCCAGTCAGTGCACCATCTTCCCAGGCCGTCTTCTTTTTAGTAACAACTGTTTTTAAAGTCGACCTGCACAGGACTCTCCGTCTGCTGGGTGACGTGTCTGCTGGGTGAATCTGTGCACCTGGGAGCTGCAGTTAGCTGGCGAGATTTGGTCGACCCCAGGTTTCCGTGGTTTGTGGCAGGACTGCAAGGCAGGTGGTGCTTCCTGTTGCGCTCTGAGCGGGTTGCATGGGGTCTGTCTCTCCCTTTGGGTGGGAGCTTGGTCAGTGTTGTCCACTTGCCCCATTCACTGAACTCCCATCGCTGCTGTGGTGGTGGGCGTGGCAGCACTGGGGAGCTTTGTCAGGCCTCCTGTCCTGTGGTGGGCACCCTGCTGGGTGCAGGCCTGGCTGGGAGGAGCTGGCCTTTCAGTCTGGGGAAAGTTGGCCTTCTACCCCTGATCTTAACCCCAAGAGGTCGAGAAGTGAAGGGGGTTGGAGGTAGCCAACAGGTTGGCTGATAAGGGAAGAGAAGGGCATGCTGTGATTACTTACTTAACTTACCACATGGGGAGCGGGGGAATGTGTCTAGATGCGGACTATAAGGAGCCGTAGAGAGAGGCTGCTGGCAGAGAGAAGAGGTGCCTGACAGTGAGGCCCAGAGAGTGGAGGCGCAGCACGATGGGTTCTGGGGTTCCCTGCCCTGCAGATGGCAGTGTGACTGTGATCCTTCCTGAGCGGTCTGTGACGCTGCCTACTCTCCTAGGGGAGAAGGAAGCAGGGCCTTGGGGACTAGAGAGCCGTGGTGGAGGCAGGGGAGGTGGACTGGAAGTGAGGAGGGGACAGCGTTAGCAATGCTGTTCGCACCTGGGCCAGGTGACCCACACAGGTGCCAGGCAGGAGCGAGGACCTGTAGGGTGGGGAGAGAGGGATCCCTGGTCCTTGCAGCCACTGAGAACTGAACAGAGAGAGCTGTGAGAGAAGGCCAGGCCCTGGGACAGTGGGCCACAGGGTGGGTGTTGCAGCCCGAGGCTGCTGATCATGGGATTGGAGGCCTCTGAGGCTGCAGGACATTGTGGGGAAGGTCCAGAGAGATGGGGGACAAAGGGTCAGGGTGGGAGGATCAGCTTAGGGGTAGATATTCAGAAAGCACAGCGCTGAGCATGAGTGTGGGGTTTGTCACTGCACATGAAGTTTCAATCGCACTGTACTTGTGCACCCGAACATGGTATTTTGTGGAAGGGCCACACTCAAGGGGCCAAAGAGCCACATGTGGCTCCCGAGCTGCAGTATGCTGACCACTGGTCTAGCCTAGCACCTGCTTCCTCCTGTCCAGCTGCAGGTCATTCGTGACTGTGATTCCCGCCAGGGAGGACCACGGACACTGTTGCTTCATCAGGTGTGGGCAACACGATCGTCCGAAGGTGGGATTCTTGTGAGGGTCTGCTCTGACTAAACAGCAGGCACCGGGGCTGGTTTCCCACACCGGTTGGGCGCAGTCGGCCTGCCTTGTAGAAAAGTGGTCACCATGGTCCCGGTGTTCTAAAAAGGCACCACAGGTCCCACTCCTCTGTCTTGTTAGTGTGTTTAAAGCGGTGCTGTGAGCATGCTTCTCTGACACGCTTCTCTCCTTCCAGTTCCAGTTACTCTTCCGATGCCCTGGATTTCGAGACTGAGCACAGATTGGACCCCGTGTTTGATTCTCCGAGAATGTCCCGGCGTAGCTTGCGCCTGGCTGCCACTGCGTGCGGCCCTGCAGGGGGCCAGGCGGGGGACACGGACTCCTGCCTCAGCGGCACAGCCTCCCTGAAGGACAGAACGGCCAGGTGAGCCCCGCGCCTTTGTGCTCACACACGAGCTAACACCACTTAGCCAGAGCACACACGCGTGGCCTGTAAGCCCACCTCTAGAATTTGAGGGCGGGCCTGCACCCAGACCCACAGTGGTCTCGTGGCTGTGCTGTAAATAAGGGCTGTCGGCGTTGGTGTGCTGAGGATAAGATCCCCAGGTCTGCAAGCCTGGGGAAGGTGTGGGTGCCCATCACATGGACACATGCCACCAGAGGCTGTTCGGGGCAGGGCCATTGCAGCCAGTCTGTTACTAAAACCGTGTGCAGTGCAGACTGCCTGTGCCAGAGGAGCACAGTGGGCAAGCTTGGTGTGCATTCAAGACATGGAGGGCCTGCAGTCTCCTGTGGGCCACGTGAGGGACAGGTTCCCTGCAGGCTCTTCTGTCGGGAGCCGGGAAGGGGCTGTCAGCAGGGATGCTGCTGGCCCAGCGGGACTGGATGCTCCGGTCGGAATCTTCTCGAGTTTAGAGACGGAGTTTGCACCCCCTCCCCCTGGAGACTCGGCAAGAGAGCGAAAGCTGTGGTGGTTAGGGTGTGTGGTGTGCACACCACGGCGACCAGGTGTCCTGAGGCCATGCGCACGCCCTCTGCGCCCACTGCCTGCTCCCACCCAGCACTGCTCCTTCAAGGGGCTTCTGCTTTTGGTCTTAGCGATAGCGTTAGTGTTCAAAGCCTTCATTTTTGTCACTGCTCACTGGGAATGCTTGCGGACTTAACGTCTTTCCTGGTGACTGAGAAGTAGAATGGGGTGTGCGAGTGTGCGGTCACTTGGTGTAAAGGGGAAGGAGTAGACTTAGAAATCGTATGCGCTTTTATGTTCATCCTTAGGCTGCTTTTAACCAGGCTATTTTAATTCTAACCACTGCAATTTTAGAAGGAGCTCTTGGGCCCCAGCTTAGGACTCCCTTTTCCAGATGAGTGGGTGCTTGATTACAGCAGAGAGATGTACAGAGATGCTGCCTTAAAAACGCTATGTTTAGCCCAGCCAGCGTGGCTCAGTGGTTGCACACGGACCCATGAACCAGGAGGTCACGGTTCCAATCCCCATCACGGCACAGGCCTGGGTTGCGGGCTCAATCCCCCGAGTGGGATGTGCAGGAGGCAGCCAATTGATGATTCTCATCATTGATGTTTCTGTCTCTCTCTGCCTTTCTCTTCCTCTCTGAGATCAATAAAAATATATTTTAAAGAAAAATTTTAATGCTGTAGTTCTCAAAGGTTTTGCGTGTATAAAATACAATCATTTTGTATTTACAAGAAAAAGTCGATGAACTTGTTCCTTTTTTCTTTCTTTTTAGAACAGCAAAACAGCACAGAAGTGCGAGCAAACTGGCCTTTAGTGTAAACCGGCCCTCGAGGCAGGTTGCTGCTGGCCAGAGCGGCAGTCTGCAGGGCGCAGCCTGTCTACGGCCGCCCGTGCTGGACGAGTCTCTGATCCAAGAGCAGACCAAAGTGGACCACTTCTGGGGTGAGTTGTCTTCGGTGTGGCTATTGCTCAGATTGTTCAGGAAGGAGGGAGGTCGTGGTCAGGGTTTTGCTCAGGCTCACAAAGCCCACGCAGGACGCTGCATAGAATGCGTCACCGTCTGCTGGTCAGGTGGCAGGCAGAGAGCTGCTGGTCAACCGCACTTGTGGGCAGTGAGCTCAGGCTCCTGGCCTCAGCAGTGTTTGTGAGCCATTGGACAGCACCAGGGTGGACACAGGGACTGAGCTGATTTGATTGAAGGCAGCCATAGGGTAACCCCACTCCTGCAAGGAATGGCATACTGTGGGCGGCAGCTTTGATGGGCGCAGAGCCGTGCTGTGTCCCCTCCGTGTCCTGCTGGCCTCAGCAACGGAAGCCCGGGCTACGTGCCGCTCTAGGGAGCAAGGCAGCGAGCGGGGGGGTGGGGCTGCCGTGTCTGAGAAACGGCTGGTCCCGCAAACCTTGCCTGCATGCTGCATCCTTAGCACGGGCAGTGTGCGCGTGTGGCTGCATGCACGCATTTTCGTCATTGTCCTTCCACCTTGTCAAAAGAAGGTGTGTGTATTGGAGAAATTACCATGAATGTTAGGCATTTTAGGAAGTAAATATTGACCAGCGCCATAACGCTAAATCGTTAACCATTGTAACCTTTACTTTTTTGAGTGGGCTTTGCTCTGTTTTGATGATTTGAGCTCAATTGCAAAAATATGTGTGTGTTTTAGGTCTTGATGATGACGGAGATCTTAAAGGTAATGACTCAGTCCTTTTTCTGCCCTACGTTTTAAGACGGAGTGTGAGTGAGGGCAAACAGGTTGTGAGCAACAGGGCCCTCTGCTTTTTGAAACCTTCAGGTGGCAATAAAGCTGTCGTTCAGGGAAATGGCAAGGTGGCCGCAGACGCAGCCTGGAGCAACGGCTACACCTGCAGGGCCTGCACCCTGCTGTCCGAGCGCCAGGACACGCTCCGCGCGCACGGCGCCGCCTCCAGGGTCTACTCGAGGGACAGGAGTCAGAAACGTAAGTCCCACTCGCTTGTTGAAGTAGTAGGAAGAGTCCACATCTCCTCTTACAAACCACAGGCCTCAGCATCTGCATTTTTTCTGTCGTAGACTTGAACTCAAAATCATCCTGTAAAAGTTTAAGAAATGCACCAAAAAGTAGCTATGCTCCTCCTCTTCTTTCAACTTACACTTCTTTAAATATATATATTTCTTTTTTAATATATTTTATTGATATTTTACAGAGAGGAGGAAGGGAGAGAGATAGAGAGCCAGAAACGTCGATGAGAGAGAAACAGACCAGCTGCCTCCTGCACACCCCCTACTGGGGATGTGCCCACAACTAATGTACATGCCCTTGACCGGAATCGAACCTGGGACCTTTCAATCCACAGACCAACGCTCTACCACTGAGCCAAACCGGTTTCGGCTAGAAATATTTTTTGATTGATTTCAGAGAGGAAGGGAGAGGGAGAAAGTGATCAGCTGCCTCCTACCCACCTCACACTGGGGATTGAGCCCACAACCCGGGCATGTGCCCTGACCAGGAATTGAACCATGACCTCCTGGTTTATGGGCTGATGCTCAACCATTGAGCCACGCCAGTCAAGCCATCCACTTACATTTCATGAGGTTAGTGTTTCAGTCCGAGGAGTGTCTGAAAGTCTATAAAGTTGCACTTCGATGAAGCTGCTGGGACTGTGCAGTCACTTTCAGACCCAGGTGCACCCAAGGAGCAGCTCCACTGGGTCCTCTCGCCCCCTGCCAGAGGGGCTCATGCCAGTAGGAGTAAGGCCGCAATCCCTGGTCTCCAGATTCATGATTGAGGGAGCTTCATTTCCAGGACAGCTCAGCCCTGGCCTGTTGGGGTGGCAGCAGCTTTCCCGGCCCGTGGGCAGGCACGGCACTGGCAGCAGGTGCTGGAGCGTGGAGGCTCTGGAGTTGTGTGACTGTTGGAATTGCTGTGGCCTCCGCAGGCCAGGCTGTGGGGCTGCCTCCTGCCCCAGAGCTGCAGGCCTCCCTCCAGATTCCGTCGTGTTGCTGAGATGTTCCTGCTGACTCCGGCCCTCCACATCAGCCCAACCTTCTGCCTGTGGTCCCTGCTCACATGCTCGTGGGAGGCTGGGGAGCCCTGGGATGAAACTGCAACGCCTCGTGTCCGAGTCCGTGCTCCTGTGCGCTCAGTCTGAGTGGGGGTCCGCCTGCAGGGCTGGAGCCACACCTGGCAGGTGACCAGGTGGGGACGGAAGGTACCAGGAGGGCAGGGCCGTGTTGGAGCGCGAGTGTGCTCAGTGAACATTCCTCAGGTGACTATGGACGTAATGGACGATGGTACCAGGACTCAGAGGTCCTGTCACAGCTCTGACGCTTGTGGTTCTGTCTGCTGCGGTGTTGGGATCGAAATAGGAAAGCAGAAAGGGGAGGGGGAGGGCAGTTGTAACAGGATGACTTTCTTTCTAACGCAGCGTCGCATCACCAAGCACTCCCTCTGCTGCGGGCTCTGCCCAGTGTCTGACCCTCCTGGCAGGCTGTCACCCTGAGACTCAGCTGTGCAACCGGCTGGGTAATGGAGCTGGGGCTGGCCGTGGCCATCTTGCCTGCAGGTGCCGTCCCCGGAATCCCATTACCCGGTCACTGTCCCACTGCGGCTCTAAGGGGGTCCCAGCCTAGAGACTTGCCAGTTCTTTATATTTTCATACTTGAAACATTTTTCAATCTGATGGGTAAAAATTGGACTTTGGTGTTTTTTATCAGGGAGACTGACCCTGCATTACCTCTTAATAAATGGCTCTGCTGTCCAGCCTCTGTCAGAGTGCAGGCTGCAGAGCAAGGCCCTTGTTCAAGTGCCAGCCCCCAGGGTCAACTGCTTTACGAAGCCGTTTGCCAAAAGGCTCTGCTTCTTCTTTAAAATGACTCCAGCCCCGTCGCCCAGCCTGCTGCCTCCTGCCCGTAGCCGAAGTCACTGAGGCTTGTGCCTAGGGCACGTGTAAGCCTAGGTTCAGCGCCTCCTCACAGACTGGGTGTCTCCAGTGGTCAGTGCTCACCCTTCTCAGGGACGTGAGGAAGCTCTTCCAGAAATAAAGGTTTCTAGCAGCTGAACCTTGTATCCCCCCCACGCGTATTAGGGTCACAGAGGGAAAGTGTCGGGTCACACCGTGTGTCCTGGAGCTCGGGCACTAATGGAGGTGTGCTGGGTGACAGGCCTGGTGCAGTGCTCCGTGAGTGCCCAGCTGCCTCCAAAGGCCACGCCCCTGTCTCCTCATCCCCTCGAGTGCTGTGGCAAGGACCTGGGAGGTGTGCGGGCCTCACCTGGCACCATCCTCCAGGCAGCAGGGCAGGAGGTGGGCGGGCCGTCAGGGGGGAGGGGTTGCCGCAGGGCCTGAGCATGTGTGTGAGCAGCACTGGAGGGAAGCTCAGACGGGGTCCTGGGTGAAAATTGCCGGAGAGAAAGTCGTGGCGGCAGCTCTGACTTGTCCTCCGTCGCCTTCTTACGTGGTTGTCTGGTGTCCGTTTACAAAGCGACTCTGGTTCGCCTGACACATGGTTAGGCTCTGACTGGTCGGGGAGGAAACGCTGGCTGTGGGCGGCCATTAACTGTGTCCACGGTTTTTTGATAGGCGGTGCGTCTCTCGGCCTGGATAGGATTCTGTGGCTGGCCACGTACACTTCGTCATCCTTTTCATCACTCTTAGTGCAACTTTTTCGAGTGGTTTTAATGAAGCTCAATTATGAATCAGAAAATCCCAAATTGAAAAGCTATGAATCAAAAGATCGTGAATCAGAAAGCTATAAGTCAGAAAGCCATGACTCACAAGGTACTTCAATACTCCTTTTCCCTCTTTCCACCAAATGATGCTTTCCCAGCGCGGCGCGCACGCTTCTGCTCGCACGGCCTCGGCGCAGACTCTCGTGGCTCAGGCTTTCCTCTGGGAGCTGACGGAGGGGTCCTGTCTTCTGTGTGTGCCTTAGTTTTCTGACAGTTGACCCGTGTTTAAACATTGTTAAGTCACTTTTTAAAAATCTTCCTGGGAAGATATGCTTATGGATTTATTTTCATTTTTAGAGAGGAGTAGCGGGAGGAGGGGCTGTGGACACCCATCGGTTGCCTCAGGCATGTCCCTGACTTGGGATCGAGCCCCACCCGTTGGGTGTATGGGAGGACACTCCACACACCTGAGCCCAAGGCCAGGGCTTTCAGTCGCCTTTCCAATCAGTCTCTGATTCTCTTTTAAAGCAAAGACAACCTATTTGAATGGCGCTTAGAACAATGTTTGGATGCGTTCAAGCAGCCCCTGTGCGTTGTGCTGGTGGGCGTGCTGTTTAGCCAGCGGGGCCTGAAACTCTCTTCCTGTCTCCTGTGCTCCTGCCTGAGCGAGCCACCAGCTGTGCCGAGCCGGTGGCCGCACATGCGCTCTGCCTGGCCGGCTCTTTGGGCCTAGGAGGCGTTGGAACGCCGAGTTTTCTAAGCCTCTTTTGCATGTGTTGCAGCTCGTTCCGATCCCTGTGGGAGGAGGACAGTAACAGAGTTTCTCAGAGAGGACGGTGACCTCAGTGTAAATGGGGAGTCGTGTAAGTATGGCCTTGTCTCCACTCTGCTCCTGGGTGATTCCCAGGTTGCACGCAGGCCCCTGATGCTGGGGCATCACTCGGTGAACTCGCGCCTCCCTGGGTGGGTGGGGCAGCCAGAGCTGCTGCTTTATCCCCAACAATAGAAGCCAGTGCCACCAGGTTCGTTTGCTTTGTCTTCTCTCTTTTTCATAATCGGGTGTCCTATTTTTTCAAACTGCCTTTGTTGTGCACAGTTTTTGAATGGACAAGGTTTGCACATTAACTGCTTGTCACCACCACCCGCAGGCGATGACTGTCGGGGGACGGGCACGGAGCACCTTGAAACCCACACGGCCACCCTCCTGCGGTCCCCCTGGACAGAGAGGGCAGCAGGGACCGCGCGGCCCACCCTGTCTCGTGCAGGTTGTCTCTCACTCTCTTCCATTTTTGTCATGTCTCCACAGATGCCTGTTGTTCCTTGTCCACATTTGCAATTCAGGTGCCCATTAAAAAAGGACAGGATTTTAGTTAACTTTGGTTTAAAAAATGGAGACTATCTCTGTTGCAAACTTATTTGTAAGTGTATTTAGTGTGAATTGAATGATGAAAGAACTTACTTGAGATTTAATTAAACATTTAGCTCAGTGATGGCTGTCTGCCCTTCCCTGGGCAGCAGGGAGATTTATAGAGTTAGGTGTCCGGTTTGTACCTGTAAGTTTCTTTGTTAAAGGGGCACCTTTTAAGGGGAGCCTTAAAAAAAAAAAAAAAAAAAAAAAGGCTGAGCTTCAAAACTAGTCAACTGTTAATTAATAATCATAAAACAGTTGACTTTCAAAACTCTCTTAATCCATATTTCTTTGCATATCAGCCATGTCGGAATTACTAATAATTTCAGGAGTCATCACACTTGTGCTAACAGGAGTGGATAACTCAGCAGTTACTTTTAAAAACGAAGCAGAGTGGCTTGCTCAATGGGTCGTGCATGATGTGCACTGTGTGTGCCTGCTTCTCGCACCCTGGGGCTGCTGCCTTCAAGAGCCCTCCCACTGGGCAGCCTTGGCCCATTGGTCCCCTGGTCCTGAGCGGTCCTGTCTCAGCTGGCGTGTTCACTGGTGTCTGCGGGTTTTACGTACCTCTCTCCCTGTGAATCCGCGGACACTGCCGCCAGCCTGTGGGCAGCCGCCCTGCCCCGCCGTGGCGTCCGTTGGCGTCCGCAGGCAAGAGAAAAGGAGGTGTTCCCACAGCAGCTCGTCTGAGTTTGTGTCAGTGTCTTGTTTGGATGCTTTGTGTTTGTGTTTCTGAAGAAGGGAGTTGATTCCTCAGGAGAACTGGGGGAAAGTCAGACTAGCAGGTGTGTCCTGCGTGTGGTCGCTGTGAGGGGCTGCTGCTCTGGGTCTCGTGTGTGAGTGCCCCGCACACGTCTGTCTGCCACAGGTCACGTCTCGGAGCGGGCGCTGCGGAGGACCGGAGCTGCAGTGTGGTCTGTGTCACAGGCCGTGTGGTCGGCCCTCTGGTTGGCCGCCGCGGCTCCAGGTGGTTATGCTGGCTTTGTGCTCACCTCCCCCAGGCTGGGCCGCTAACACCGCAGCGAATGACTCCCCTAACCAGAGGCCATCCCACGCGTGGCCCGTGCTTGCCCCTCCTTGGAGCGCTTCCTCTGGGCTCGGTGCATGGGCTGTCCCCAGTGTCCGGCGCTCTGAGGGTTTGGCGCCTGGTTGGGCCGTAATTGAGATGCATGCTCTGTGTCCCTTCCCAGTCGTGTCTGGTGTGCTGACGCGCACTCTGTGTGGCTGTAGCCTGTGCTGTCTATGTTGGAGCATGTGGATTCCTGCTGTGCTGACCAGCACCCCTTAACATACCTGCTCCTGAACTGCAACCCCTCAACTTCCCAAACGTCTGTCCGTCGATTCCCCGGTGCTCCCAGCTTGCCGTCACCAAAGTGGTTCGCTTAGGAGCCTGGCTTTCCTGAGAACGCTCCCGGGACTGACTGGTGTTTTCCTCTTTCAGGGAAGGCAGCCTCTGGCATCTTCTGGTGGCTGGGAAGTGGCTGGTACCAGTTCGTGACTTTGATTTCTTGGCTGAACGTGTTTCTTCTAACAAGGTAAAGAACTGATGTACAACTGCTTTGTGTTTTAAAGAACTAATTTTGTGCCCTAGCCAGTTTGGCTCAGTGAATGGGACTTCAGCCTGTGGACTGAAGGGTCCCGGGTTCGATTCTGGTCAAGGCTCCTCCCTGGCCTGGCCCCTGGTCAGGGTGCCTGCAAGAGGAAACCCATCAATGTGTTTCTCTCATGTGCATGTTTCTCTCTGTCTTCCCCTCTCTCTTCTCTCTCTAAAAGATCAATGAAAAAAATATCCTTGGGTGAGGATTAACAAAAAATGAACTGATTTTGTGCTAACTGTAGGACATCATTTGATTTATTGTTTTATAATGATTTAGTTTATTTTTATAATCTTGTAGAATGATATGTTAATGCCCTGCATTCACATGTCATTTTATGTTTTATGAAATGCTTTCATGTTCTCATGGGAGAGTGTGGCACATGGGAGAGGAGGCCCTGCCAATGCTGGGGCAACTCCCACGGCCCAGGTTACCTCAGGGCCCAAGTAAGGCACCCCGTGCTCCCAGCGTGACCTGTGTGTGCTTGTTGATATGGGCCCAGGCCACCCCTTAGAGGCAGGGCTCCTGCCGTGCAGACACACCTGGTGGGGAAACTGTAACTGCATTTCTAACCTGTGGGCTCCTCTCATGGACCCGGGGGCAGAAGGGGAGGTGTCACCTGGAGAGGTCAAGTGAACGGGGACCCCTGCCTTGTGCTTCTCACGGCAAATGTCCTATTCCTAGGTGCCTTCGGAATATTTGCAAGTTTCTCATTGTGCTCGTTCCACTACTCCTCTTCCTCGGTGAGTAAGATGTGATTGCGTTCCCTGGGAGGGCCACTGCGCACCACCCGGAGGTGCTCGGTGCGCCTTGTGGGAGGCGGTGTGCCCGTGCCGACTGTGACCGCGTGGCTTTCTCTCCTTCAAGGTGCCGGCCTTTCCTTACGAGGCCAGGACGGCCTCCTCTCCCTCCTGCCTGTGTTCAACTGGACACACATCCTCAGAACACAGAGAGTGGATGACCCCAAAGACATGTTCACACCTGATACTTCTCACCTGAGCCAGCCTCCGGAGGTAACCTGACATTGCAGGGACAGGGTGCTGTTTTAGGAAATGCTTTTCAAATGCTCTGCAATAGTACAAGTAATGCACCTGTAAAGTCGCCCCTTAGTTCAATTAATTTCATTGAAGAATAATAGTGCTCATTCCTTTGGGAAATGTAGAAAGTACAGAGAAGAAAATGAAAGTCACCACTAGCTTGCCATGTAAGAAAATTCACCAATGGGCATTTTTGCATATTTTCCTTTCATGTATTTGTGTGCACTATAGTTAACATTTTGTCGTAATATTCTGTCTTGTAGGTTTTTTGGGGGTTTGTTTAAGATTTTTTATTATTTTTAAAGAGGGAGGGAAACATCAATGTGTGAGTGACACATCAGTGGGCTGTCTCCTGCACACCCTCTGCCTCGGCCGTGAATGAGGTGGCGACACCTTGGTGCACAGGACAGCCACAGCCACAGCCACACCGGCCATGGCTCTGCTTTGTAGCTTGGACTTGCCCTGGTGCCCATTTAATGGCTCCCTCGAGTTGCTGTGAAAAGATCTCCTTCCCGTTTTAGGGTGCTGCGGAGGCGTCTCCCTGGCGTTGGATGAGTGAGGTGGAGAGGCAGGTGACCTCGCTGTCCGGACAGTGCCAGAGCCGTGATGAGAAGCTGCGAGAACTGACGGCTTCGCTCCAGAAGCTGCAAGTGCGGGTGGACCAGATGGACGACGGGGGCGCCGGGGTGTCGTCCCTGGTGACGAGCGTGGTGGGGCAGCACTTGAAGGACCTGGCAGCCGGCGGGCTGCTGGGCTCCCAGGTAAGGCTGGGAGGCCCTCGCCTCCGGGACCAAGGTCAGGAGAACACAGCCGTGGGACCTGGTCCTCTCTCCATTCCGGACCTTAAGAAAATCTGCATCATGTCGAGGGGGTGGGCTGACAGTTCTTTGCTTGAGAATGCCAAGTAAATTAGACATGCACGTGGCTGCTCGTGGCTCCCCGTGGACAGCAGCTGCTCTGCCTTGCTGCGCCGCAGGGCGAGCGTGGCGTCCCACCCACAGCCTGGATCCCGGGCATCTAGCTGAGCCCCCGAGTGCTCTCGCGGCACAGACGCTGGTAACAGGGAGCTCCCAAGCAAGAAGGGGGCCCGCAGTGCACACGGTTCATTGAGTTCTCCTTTGGAGAAAAAAGTGGCATTTGGAAAAAGAAGAATCCATGTCCCTGGTGTTAAGGCTCTGAGTTTGGTTGGCTCAGTCAGCCTGGCCGTGTTTCCTGGCCCTGTGGCCATGGTGACCCCAGCAGGACCCAGCTTGTCTGCGGCAGGCAGCCACGTGGGGGTCGTTTCTCCTGAGCTGCTGGCACGTTCCGGGTCTCTGACGTGGCAGTGGAGACGAGAGCCTTGTGGGTGGTGAGCCCTTGCGGTGCTCTGCCACACTGTGACCAGACGCGCTCCACACTGGGGCGTTCTGTGTCGGGTAACTTGCCTGGTTTATCTGACGCTTCCTTTCTCTGCCATTTGTCCTCTCATTTCTCTCCAAGGCCGACTCGGGGACCTTCCACCACCAGCAGGAATCGCGCATCTCAGACTTGGAGGCCCTTCTGGGGAAGCTGGCGGGAAAGTTGGAGGTATTCCTTCTCGTCACCGTGGCCTCGGCAACGCGCTCTCCTGCGTGAATGCCCGAGGGCTGGTGCTGGCACGCCAGCCTTGACAGCCCTTGCCAGTGTCGGCTGCTGTCCTTGGTGGATGTGAGGAAGGCCTCTGCGGGCCAGCGTCTCCCTGGGAGGTCTCGTGTGTGGCCGTGCTGCTTCACGAGCATGTCCAGCTCATGGTCCGAGGTGTCTTTTAAGGGGAGGCCTGCGCCCAAGGGTTAGCCAGGGCAGGGCTGCGGACGCCAGGGGCCGGCTGAGTCTGTGCCTCCTGCTTGTCACAGCCACCTCCAGGGGCACCTGTGTGCAGACGAGAAGTCAATTTCTGGAGGGAAAGTCTGTGACTCAGATGCTGACAGAGGCAGAGGACGGAGGCCAGGCGCTGGGCTGGCACAGAACAGGGCGCAGCAGGAGGCTGTTGGCTGACCCAGCTCGAGGCAGGGCACAGCCATCACCGAGTCAGAATGGTGAGGCCAGTCCAGCAGGTGGGAGAAGGCCTAGTGCTGAGGCAGGGCTCACCTGTCTCCTGGGCCTGAGGTTGCGAGAAGGCCTGTCCGCCTGGCACAGAGCCCGTTCGTGCGCTTTGAGTGGACCCTGCCACTGCCCTTCGGGTGGCGTGTGTGCTCCTGTCTTGTGCTGCCATGGAGGCGACCGCCAGGGTCCTGGGCTGGTCCTGAGTCGCGGATGTGGAACAGGCACCAGTTGCTCTTGTGGGACTGCTCCTCTCTCTGTGTCTGAAAAGCATCCTCTTCCCTCCAGCCGGCAGCCTGGGCTAGGCTGTGGGGGAGGAACCCAGGCAGGCGAGGTTATGCACTACCTCGGTGTGTATAGTCACCCACGTGGTGGCTTCATGAAAAGCCAGCATGGCATCGTGAAAACGACGGTTTCTCCTGCTTTCTAGGCCATCCAGAAGGAACTGGAGCAGACCAAGCGGAGGACAGAGAGGTAGGAGGCTCAGGTGCTCCCTGTTCGGCATGTCGAGGGGCTGCCACCGGGGGTGGCAAGCTCTGGAGGGGATGCAGAGCTGCATGTCTTCCTGGGAGGGGCCTGTGTGTCTGCTGCTCTCCTCACGGCACCCCACGGGCAGGCCGCCCTTGCTTTGACTGGGAGAGCTTGGACGGCTGCCCTCGGGTGCAGATAAGCCCAGGCTCATGTCCCAGTGGGGGGATCGAGCTCTGGCATGTGGGCATTGAAGCTCAGCCCTTGTCCTGTGGGCAGAGCCTGCGTGGGAGACAGGCCTGCAGCCCACTGCTCACTCTTCTCAGCTTCTCTGCCCTCCAGTCTGTCTAAATGCAATACCTTCATCTTCGCCGCTCAGTGATTCCTGAGGCTCAGCGGGGGACCTTGTCCCCTCTGGCTGTGTGTGTGTCTGTGTCTGGCCGGCCTCATCAGCACACGTGGGGCAGGTGCACCCTTGGGCGAGGGGGGTCCTCGGGGACCCAACCTGAGTGTATGAAGCTCCTGTGCATGAGGCACAGGCTTATGTCACCCACACTGCCTGGTGCCATGCTTCTCCCGAGCTCACTAAGCATGTCCTCCCCCACCCCGACCGCAGCATGCCCGGGCAGGAGCAGCACCTGCTGTCCGTGGTGGCGCAGCTGGAGCGCGAGCTGGAGCACCTGAGGTCGGACGTGGCGGCCTGGCAGCCTCTGAGGAGCAGCTGTGAGGAGGCCCACACAGTCCTCGGAAAGGTAAGCCTACTCCACCCCACTTCTGGGGTCGGAGCGAGAGAGCGCCTGCTTCCGCGGCTGCCCGGGCGCCGTTCTGTGCACAAGTGTGCGGGGCAGGGACGCCTGTGGGCGTTTCTGGAAACTGCCGTTCAAGGTGCTCTGTGCCCCTCGCCCAGGGGCCTCAGTGTGGGTGGGTGAGGCTGGACACAACAGCGCTTCCTCCTCCGCCTGAGGCACAGGCTCCACTGTGCTGTGCCCCTCCCACTCCTGTTCTCTGATCTCCTCCCTCTGTCTGGAGGGGCTCTTCCATTTAACTGAAGGGGGAATCGCCGGCCGGCGTGGCTCAGTGGTTCAGTGTGGCCTATGAACAGGAGTTCAGGGTTTGATTTCCGCTCAGGGCACATGCCCAGGTTGGGGGTTTGATCCCCAGTCGGGGCATGCAGGAGGCAGCCGATCAATGATTCTCACTCATCCTTGATGTTTCTATATATCTTTCTCTCTCTCTCCATCTCTGAAGTCAATAAAAACATATTAAGGCGGGATGGGGGGTGTGGCATTTCCATGATGGACATGAAGAGCTGGGGGACTCTGCCATTGTATCTAAGCTTAGGGGCATCCGGAGCCGCGGTGCTTTCTCATCTGTGTCCTCTTTTTTTCTTTTTTTTGGGGGGGAGGAAGATTTATTTTGGTTTATGATAGAGGGATAGGAGTGAGTTGCTATCCATGCTACAGAAGCATGGCTTGTGTTGGTTCCAGAGATGGAGGTGGGATAATATTATTCTTAGCAGTAGAGCTTGTTCACCTGTGTCCTCTTGATTTTATAAGGTCGATGCCCAAGTCCGAGAGATGGTCAGACTCCTGCTTTCCGGCGACCAGCAGGACGGCTCCCTGGACTGGCTGCTGCAGAAGCTGTCTGCGCAGTTTGTCAGCAAGGGCGACCTGCATGCTTTGCTGCGAGAGCTGGAGTTGCAGATACTGAAGAACATCACCCACCACATTTCTGTGACAAGGCAGGGGCCAACCTCTAAAGCCATCATGGCCGCGGTGACCTCGGAGGGGACTTCCGGGATCACAGAAGCGGTAGGTGGAGAGGGAGGGAACTGACACTGCAGTGAGGGTGGTGAGGGCCGGTCCTGAGCAGCGGGACGAACAGTGAAGGTGGGTGCTCAGCCAGGGAGGTGCAGAGGTCATGGCGCCCAGGTGGCGCTGCTGCTAGGGAGGACTACTCTGCCAGCCTCTGCCCCACACCTGAGGTCGTGTCTCCATCACACGAACCAGGCCGCAGTGCCTGCTCGGAACCTGCACAGCCACCACTCTGTGCACCAGGGGCTGGGGCGGTAGGAGCAGCCCTGCCTGGGTGCATGCTGCAGTTTGGATTTCCCAAACATCCCCATGCCTGTCATCTGCAACACAGCTACTGACAGTGCTCTCCTGAAACTCGGGCCTCCACCCTGCCGCTAACACGTAGTCTTGTCCCCCTCCCCCGGGTCGGGTCCCCGCCTGTGCTGCCTCCCCCAGCAAGCCCGCATCATCGTGAACAACGCGCTCAAGCTGTATTCCCAGGACAAGACCGGCATGGTGGACTTCGCCCTGGAGTCTGGCGGTGAGTCACTGCGGACGCCGGAGGCCACTGCTGGCAGGTGCGGCCATGGGCCGCCCCTCTCCGGCCAGCCCGGGACTCCCTCGGGCTTCCTGGCCGGCTCTCCCTGCGCACGGCACTAGGTGAGGGTCAGCTAAACCTCAGTTGGGGAGTTTTTCTGTGGCTCTAGGGCTCCTCCAGCTGTCAGGGTCCCCCACAGCGGTTGGTTGGTTGCTGTGGTCTTGAGTGTTGTGCAGTGTGTGTCAGCGTTGCAGGTGGTACTGTTTGTGTTGAGTGTCGTTGCTTGATAGGTTTTATTTTTTTTCTGAGAGAGGGGAAGGAAGAGAGAGGACATCCATGTGAGAGAGAAACCTCAGTTGGTTGCCTCCCGCAAGCACCCAAACGGGAAGGAAGCCGCTCTGGCAGGGCGCTTTTTTTACGAATTGAAGGCCCCAGCAGGAGGACACTCACTGCGTGGTGACCCCGCTTTTGTGGTGATCGCCGAGGTGCCCTGCATGGAGGTCAGGCACAGGCAGCAGGCAGTGTCTTCCCTCATCTCCAGGAGGCTGTGTTGGCATGTGGGTGCGGGCTCCTTCTGGAACTTGGCAAGGCTCCCTCCAGTGTCTGCCTCCTGCTGGGACCACAGTCCCCGGGCCAGGTCCGCAGCCATAGGCCTGCAGCAAACGGGACAGGCAGGGCTCCTCACAGAGTGAGCAGAGTGTGGGCTGTTTGGGCTCCGGACCGAGATCGCAGGCCAATGTACTGAGAAAGCAGGCTGTGGTTCAGGGAAGAGTTGGGGCCACATACATGCCTTTGTCACCTGACCTCTGTGACATTGGATCAAACACGGGAGGTTTCTGTGAAGAAATCGTGGATGCTCGTAGGACATGAGAGACTGAGTGACTTCACGTCTGGTCGGTGGGGAGATTTTGCCGCCTCCGTTTTACAGAGCGTCTCGGGCTTCTGAACGTGTCACGTTGGGGATTACAGGTTTTCCTGAGAAAGCAGGTTCTTAATGCGCTGGCATGTGGGGAAGGGTTGGAGTCTCAGGGGCGGTGGTGATCTTACGCACTCGCCGCCTGTTTATTTATTTATTTTTTAATATATTTTATTGAGTTTTTATAGAGAGGAAGAGAGAGGGATAGAAAGCTAGAAACATCAATGAGAGAGAAACATCGATCAGCTGCCTCTTGCACACCCCCTACTGGGGATGTTTTAGCAACCAAGGTACATGCCCCTGACCGGAATCAAACCCGGAACCTTTCAGTCCGCAGGCCAACACTCTATCCACTGAGCCATCTGCTTAGTTTGCCTCATCCCAGCAGCATAGGAAGGAGGGGGGCTGACCCCCGTACTCCCACAGCTGGCTGTGGACCTATTAAGTCAACCCCTCTAACCCTCACGGGCCAGCTGGCAGCAGGCCTGATTGGATTCGTTATTACTCACTTAAAGACACGAGCAGCCTGGCTGGTGTGACGCAATTGGTTGGAGTGTCGTCCTGCACACTGAAAGGTTGTGGGTTCGATTCCTAGTCAGGGCCCATGCCTAGGTTGTGGATTCGATCCCTGATTGGGGTTAGGGTGAGTACAGGAGGCAACCAACCCGCATTTCTCACATTGATGTTTATCTCCTCCTTCCCCTTCCTCTAAAGACAATAGAAACATATCCTTGTGTGAGGGTTTAAAAAAAACCATGAACAAAAGTTTATTCAGAGTAGCTGTCCCAGGAGGTGCAGGCGGGCAGGGAGCAGCCATGTTGAAGGGTCTCCCGTGTTGGCCGGTGCACACTGTGTAGCTGAAAGCAAGCGACTCCTGGCACTGGACTTGGACCAAGTGGGGCTTGGGGGGGGGCTGACCTGGAGTACCCAGGCCAGCTCCTCCTGCGGGCTGGCGGGCTCAGACCCTGACACCAGTCGCTGCTTCCAGGGGGCAGCATCCTGAGCACTCGCTGCTCAGAGACGCACGAGACCAAGACGGCGCTCATCAGCCTGTTCGGCATCCCCCTGTGGTACTTCTCCCAGTCGCCCCGCGTCGTGATCCAGGTGAGGAGCTCTGCCAGCCCCGCCCAGCGGCATGCGCTGGCGGCTGGCATCCTCGGGGGCCCTTTGTGACCAACTCTGTGATGTGTTTTTAGCTTTTTGTGAAGGGTAGGGAACCTACAGGAGTGTGTGCCCTCGTCTGTGTCCACTCAGTGAGTCTTCACACGGTGGACAGCACCCCCTGCCCCTCTTGTCCCCTCGCCCCAAGGTTGGCTTGTAACTCCGTCCCATCTTGTCTGAGGAGTGAGCTGTAGGGCCCACTGTGCAAGTCAGCTATGCCTGCTCACGCCTAATTCCAAGCCGTGTGCCTTCCAGGGCCTCCCTCTGGCACTGGTCGCAGGTCCCAAGGCTACATGACGAAGAGTGTGAAGCATCAGATACATTTGTTCGGCCTCAGGATTAAACTGCTGCCTTATGTTATAAGGTTTTTGGAAGAAATTTTAAATTATTTTTTAACATGAAACGTTCACATGATAGCGACCTTTCACTTACAAACTACATGCTCAGCCTGAAAGAGCTCAGGAAGGAGCTGAGTGGGAAGTGAGTGCCGTCCATGGGCAGTGCTGGCCCTGGCCCTACCCTGGCACTCGCCTGTCCTAGGTGCCGCTGGTCTCTGACCTGCGTGATGCTGGCTCCTCGGGCCCTGATCCACAAGGTCGCTCACCCGTGTACCTCAGCTCTGGCCTCAGGTGCACGGTCTGCCCTGTGCTGTTGTGCTGGCCTGGGTCCCAGCATGCCCCCTGGAGGTCAGGAGGCAGCTGTCCCCTGCATGGTAGACGTCCTTCAGACGGCCACTTGTATTTAGGGCCCAGGCCCCTTCTCACAGGGCAAGCAGAGGGGCACAAAGAACCGAGAATGTGTACCTTTTCCTCCTGCCCCTCCCTCCCACCTGGTTGGGGCCCCACCGCAGGCCCGCCAGGGCAGGGCCGCCTCTGCCGTGGAAAGGACTCCTGCCACCTCTCCGGGTCGGGTCCTTTTGTGCCCTCGCCAGTGTCCCGGGGTGGAAGTGGGCATGCGGGTCAGAGGCCGCTGTGCCGGCTGGGCTTCCTGAGCTCAGCCAGCATGCACATTGTGGGAGCGGGCGCGTCTCACAGCTCGGCACAGGCGGCCCCCTCGGGATGATGGGAGCCTGCTCGGTGAGCCCCGGGCCACCTGCCGCACAGACGTGGTTCCGTCCTGTGTGAGCTGGACCTCCTGTGGCTGGGGACACTGACACCCCATGTGGCCTAGGGGTGCGTCTCACCCATTTTCCCTGCGGTACTGGCACGTGAGCTCCATAGAACTCCCTCACCTGTGGGAGGCAGTCACTTCCCAGGTTGTCTTTGATTTGGCTTATAGTGACCTTTTACCACACAAAATGCTTTTCCTTCTAGTTCAGTGGCACCGTCTTTTCTCTCACAGCTCTGTTTTACGAATGGCAACACACTTGCCGACTTTTAAGTGTTAGCTTGTTGCCTCTCCCCAGCCTGACATCTATCCCGGGAACTGCTGGGCGTTCAAAGGCTCCCAGGGCTACCTGGTGGTGCGGCTGTCGATGGAGATCCACCCGACCAGCTTCACGCTGGAGCACATACCAAAGACGCTGTCGCCCACGGGCAACATCACCAGCGCCCCCAAGAACTTCTCCGTCTACGTGAGTGTGCTTGCCCCAGGGGCCCAGCGGTGTCCTCCTCCCTGCCCACTTTCCTCTGGAGCGTTACAGGCAGCGTGAGCCCAGAGGAGGGACGGTCAAGTCTCAGTGATGGAGGAACACCTCCCTCACGGGCGAGGAGTTGCGAAAACCCTGAACGAAATGCCTGGGTGGCAGCCTCACAGAGGCCCTGGTCCGCAGTGATGGAGATGGGGTCTCCTGCTCCTGCTGGAGAGATGCCGTCTGCCGGTGTCATTGCCACGGTCCGGTGACCATCTGATTTTGCTTTCAGGGACTAGAAAATGAGTATCAAGAGGAAGGGCAGCTGCTGGGACAGTTCATGTTCGACCAAGAGGGGGAGTCACTCCAGACCTTCCCTGTCCCGGTGAGCACTTGCCACGCACACTGGTCCCAGCCCCTGGCCCGACAGCAGGCCCCGCTGCCATGAGCAAGCTGCCGGAGGGCGTGGCTCGGCCTCGGGACGGGAGCGGGCCTCCTCCTCCCGAAGAGCCTCTGCAGTGCATGCTTTCTCCCGTCCACGTGTCCTGCACAGAAGTCAAGTCTGTGCTCAGGCGGATTCTCAGCCCGTGCCCAGCCTGGCCCTTTCTCTCAGGAGCCTGGGGGGATGTGCTTGGGTTCGGAAGTGTTCATGTGAAGTAAGTGTGAATTTTTTTTTCTCTCTTTCGATTTCAGAAAAGACCTGAAAGAGCTTTCCAAATAGTGGAACTTCAGATTTTTTCTAACTGGGGCCATCCTGAATACACATGTCTCTATCGGTTCCGAGTTCACGGAGACCCTGTCAAGTAGAGACGCTCCTCACTGCTGCTGTACATTCTGTACATACGGGGCAGCCCGAGACACGGGACCTTCCCTGCGTGGACAAGGGCGTGGGACATGGGATGTCCCATTAAATAAATGCTGCTGACTGCCAGCAGGACACGGGAATTAGCAATGAATGTGTGTGCCCCTTGCTGTTCTGTCTGTGGGAAGCTGCGTGTTGAAGGCTTGGGTTTACGGAGACCTGTTAGCCACAGTAGATCTCGGAAATTCATTTGAATGTATGGCTCTCAAAGACACTTTGTTTGGGGGATTTGTTTTTAAACATAAAGCTGTTTATATTCATTATTTTCTTGACATCAGGAACAAAGCAAGTGACGTTAAAAGGTTTGATGAGTTCTTGAAGCTTCTACACTTAGCCGATCACTGGCCCTTCCAAAGGACTCTGGGGCAGCTGCCTATTTTCTCTCCAGCACACAGTTCTTTCAGGGGAAAATCAGTGTCACCAAACTGAGTTCAAACTCCTTTCCTTCAGGGTGGGTGGTGCTTTATTCATGTCACCAGGTGGGAAGTGGTGAAAGATGTTTTTCTGTTTCGCTTGCTGCACTGAGAAAGGTTCTCCAAGTCAGAGCCTGGAGTGTTAGAATCCAGCAGGAACATAGGAGAGGGTCACCTCGCGTGGCTAACGTGTGTCTGTCCGTCCAGGTGTAAACACACACAAGTGCAGGCTCAGGTTCCCCGCTTTCAGTACGAACAGGAACAACGACCTCCAGTCCAATCTGCAAAAGCAAACACTAACATGCTCCCCCTCCCCTGGTGGTGTCGGAGGCGGTCCAGCGTGGCCAGTGCCAGAGCCACCACATCCTGCACTGTCCTCTTTCACTGGCTCGGGTGGCACGCCTTTTCTTAATCTGTCGTGGCCATTCTTCTCCCATTCCTGGGAGACCCATTTTGGTCATAATTAGTATTTAACACTGAGGCTATTTAACACTGAGACTATTTAACGTTGAGCAGACTTTATACATGAGATATCCACAAGGCACTTAAGATGTTACTGATGTTTTAAAGTTAAGTTTTATTGGGTTAAGACAGCTTCTTGGTATACCATAAATGTATTTTCAAAGAAGGTAAAATGATGGTGCTGACAGGTTTTCTGGAGTTTTATGTATATTGCGCAATAGTCCTCAAATACACAAAAACTAGGTAGCTTTTCTTTTTCTTTTAGAATTGGGGCTGTTGCCTATGCAGTTAAGTTGGGTAAAATGTATACAGATGTTTCCTATATTACAGGATAAATATGAGTCAAAATTTCCTATATAAAACTAAATTTGGGAGTTGGGGTGGACATATTTTGAATATTAATTTATTTTTAAAGATGCAAGATAGGACTTTGTGCAGTGTATTTTTGTAAATGCTTTTCCAAATGTCTGGTAGTGCTCCTGTTGCTGCCACCAAACTAAGATGCTATTGAAATGTTTAAATAAAGAGTTTTTAATTTTTAAGAGTGCATGTGATACTTCAAATGAATAATAAACAGCATATTTCTTTCTCCAGTCTGCTTTGTTTATGCCCGGGCAGCTGTGGGTGGGACGACTAGGTTTGCGTGTTCTCGCACGTGTGTCTGTTGTAACCGCCTCACGCTCACCCAGCTAGGCCAGCCCGTGGCGGCAGGGCACCCTGGGGTCGGGACTCTCCGGGAATAGGTCGAATTGCAGGGGCTGCGCGACAAGGAGAGAATTGGGAAATGAGATGCATCTCGGAGGAATGTTTCCGTCCCGGGTCTTTGGTTACTGAAGGGCGTGGCGAGCCGCTTTCCAGACTAACCCCAACGGATTCCTTAGTCAAGTACAGGGCGGGGCCGCACTACGGATCGTGCTGTCTCCCACGCTGTGCGGACTGAATGCTCTTGTTGCGTGTAGGGCTCTGGGCGCTGCGGGGCTGCAGGCCTGGGAGGGCAGAGCTGCAAAGGCTCCGCTCCGCCCCACCTTTAAAAAAGTTTGTTGATTTGGGGGGAGGGTGAGAAACATCCATGATGAGAATCATTGATCAGCGGCCTCCTGCACGCGCCGCCACTGGAGACGGAGCCCGCAAGGCCGGCATGTGCCCCGAGGGGGAATGAACCCGGACCTCGGAGCTCAGCCGTCCACACTCAGCCGCCGAGCCACAGCGCCCGGTCCGCCACATTTCTATTCTGGCGACAGGTGTGCCCGCCTAACGCACACCCGCTCCCCTCCCGCGCAGGCGCTCCGCTCCGCTCTGCACCCGCTCCCTCCAAACACCCGGCATGTGCTGCGCGCTCAGGCCAGTGGGGATGCCGTGGCAGTGTGACCTCGGGGGCAGGGACGGGCGTGGGCTCACGACACGCACCATCCACAGTCGGTGGCCGTCCGGAGCAGTCGGGCGAGGGGCGCGGAGCTGGGGCGCAAGGCAGGAGGAGGCTGCCCTCAAAGGCCCAGTCCCGGCCGATCTGAGCCTGGTCTGCAGCGCCCAGTGCCCGCCCGCTGCGCCGAGTGTGGCCTTGAGACATGCCGCCGCCACCGAAGCGGATAAAACCCTTTCTTTTCAAGCCGTTTACACACGCCCACGACCGCTGAGCCGGCAGCTGCCTGCGGGGATTACGCGGCCGCCATTGTGACGTCAGCGCGCGTTCTAGTCACGTGATCGACAGGGCTCCGCCTCCGCCCACGTCACGTGCTCGTCCCGGCGGAGCCCGCGGTCACGTGGCCGCCCGTCGGCGCGCCCGCCCCCGACCGCGCGGCTCCTCGCGGCCACCGTAGAGGACTTCGGGCGGCCGCCGGGACGGAAGCCGAGAGGCGCTGCCGACCAAGCCTGCGACAGCGTCAGCCCTGCGCGGAGCGCCGGCCCGATGGCGGCGACGGCGGCGACGGCGGCGATGGCCGAGCAGGAGGGCGCCCGCAACGGCGCTCGCAACCGCGGCGGCGTCCAGCGCGTGGAGGGCAAGCTGCGCGCCAGCGTGGAGAAGGGCGAGTACTACGAGGCGCACCAGATGTACCGGACCCTCTTCTTCAGGTAGCCGCCGTCCGCCGGCCCCGCCCCCGCCGCCCATTGGCCCGCGCCGCTGCCTGTCGCCGCGGGTCCGGCGGGCGGCGGGGCGCGGGCGAGGCCCGGGGCTCCCCGCCGGCTCCCCCCTCACTCCCCTTGCCCAGCCCCGGCCGTCCCCACCCGAGCGCCGTTGGCGCGGAGCCCCCGCGCCAGGTCGCACGGCCCTCCGCCCTCGGAACGCAGCCATCCGCCGGGGTCGGGCCCGTGCTCGCCGCGCTGTCGGGTCGGGGCCGGGCGCCGTGCCTGCCTCCTCCCGCGGCTGCGGCACCTGCGCTGCCCACGTGCGGCCGTGCGCCCGGCCCGGGCGGCGGGGGCGGCTCGGTGCGGGGGCCTGGTGGGGGTTGGGGGTGGGGGTGCGGGGGACGGAGCAGACGCCGCCTCCGCGTGGCTCAGGGCCCGGGCTGCGCGGCTGCCCCGTCACGGCGCGTATCAGGGCGCGTGGGCCTGACCGACACACGGACTGGACGTGCGGGCGACGCTCCCGGGACACGGGCGCTGCGGGCGGGAGACAATGGCCGCTCGGAGGCCAGCGGAGGGGGAGAGCCTTCCTCCCCGCCGCCGGGCCTGTCCTGCGGGGCGGCGGGCGGGCGGGCGGGCGGGGGAAGCTGTTTCTCCGATGCCGGCGCCGCGTGTAGGTCCCGCCGCCCGTTCCTGTCGCAGTAAAAGGCCGCGGGCTGCGGGCGCTGGCCGTGCCCGGGGTTTGCACCGGCGATTCCTCAGCAGACCTGGGCCTTCCCGACACCGGCGGGCGGTCCCCTCCGGGGCCTCCCGGTGGCCAGGCCCTGGGCCCAGGGTCCATTCCCCTGGCCTGGGGGTGGGGAGGTGCCCGCAGGCTCTGCCGCCCTCCTCCACCTGGGCCGCCGCCTCTCTGCTCTGAGCCTGGCCCGTGACGCAGGCAGCGCCCTGGGAGCCGAGCCCTGGCTTCCTGGTGGGTCACCCGAGGTTCCTGCCCCCCGCACAGCTCTGCTCAGGCCGCCTTCTGGTTTGGAACCCCCACGGCGTGTAGCTCCTGGAGCAGTCGGATTCCTATACTAACATTTAGTGCCTTCCTGCAAGTAAACGTATCCGTTATTTAAGTTATTACATTTAAATATTCACGGAACGTGCACACGCACACGCCCCGGGAGCGATGCTGAGAATGCCCGTGGCCTCCAGCTTCTCTCCGGTCCACCCGCTCCGGCCCGAGGCCGGTGTGTATTTTCTGACAGTAAATTCACTCCCCACGGTCCACATTCCTCCTTTACTGCGGGCGGTGACCACCGTGCGGATGGACCCATCTGGCTGCCCACACCCGCTGGGTGAGGCATCACGTCATGACGTAACCCGCTGACACGGTGCCCCCAGTGTAAGGAGCAGAGCAGGAAGGGGCAGCCGGCAGATGGGCGTCCGGGGGCTGTGTCCACAGGAGTGGGCCTGGGCGTGGCCGCTGGTTCCTGGAGGATGAGCCTCAGTCCCACGAGGGAGGCAGCAGGGTCTCCGGGCGGCACTCCCGTGGACAGGAAGGGACCTGTGGCCACGTCCCCCGTCAACCTGTCCAGGGCCTCCACTGGGGCCTGAATTCGGGTCTCCTGCCCCCAGCTTTCTGATGCCTGGATGGTTGGTTGTGGCCTGTAACCTGTTTGCCTCCCAAATGAAGTTTTTAAAAGAAAGCCTTAAAAACGCATTCTCAGAGGAAATAATGAACAACATAAACTGATGAACAAGAACAGACCCAGAGAAAGAGAAGCAGCGATCAAACTCTCAAACCTCAGAGGGAAAGTAAGGGAGGGTGGGGGTAAAGGGAAGAGATCAACCAAAGGACTTGAGTGCATGCCTATGGGCCTGGCCAGTGGCCATGGACAGCAGGGGGGTGGGGGCATATGTAGGGAGGGGTTTGGGATGGGAATAGGGGGGATAAGGACAATTATGTGAGACCATAATCAATAAAATCATAATTTAAAAAAAAACAAAAACGCATTCTCTGCTGCTGGTGGGTCACCTGAGCTTCCCCGCCGAGCCTCGGCTCCGGTGCGTTCTGCGAGGTGGGGGACCCCAGCTGAGACTTTATGTGTGTCTGTCGCCATTTGACACTGATCTTTTTAATTGATTTTTTTCAGAGAGGAAAGGAGAGGGAGAGAGAGACAAACATCCATGATGAGAGAGAATCATGGATCGGCAGCCTCCCGCACGCCCCCCAATGGGGGATCAAGCCCACAACCCCAGCACGCCCTGACAGGAATCAAACCCAGGACTCTTCCTTCCACAGGCCGGCGCTCTATCCACAGAGCCAAACTGGCCAGGCCATAGTGATTGTTAAAATTAAATTTATTGGTGCCCTAACCGGTTTGGCTCAGTGGATTGAGCTTCGGCCTGCGGACTGAAGGGTCCCAGGTTCGATTCCGGTCAAGGGCATGGACCTTGGTTGCAGCACATCCTCAGTAGGGGGTGTGCAGGAGGCAGCTGATTGATGTTTCTTTCTCATAGATGTTTCAAACTCTATCCCTCTTCCTTCCTCTCTGTAAGAAAAATCAATGAAATATATATATATATTTTTTTTTTAAATATATTTTATTGATTTTTTACAGAGAGGAAGGGAGAGAGAGAGCTAGAAACGTTGATGAGAGAGAAACATCAACCAGCTGCCTCTTGCACAACCCCTTCTGGGGATGTGCCCACAACCAATGTACATGCCCTTGACCGGAATTGAACCCGGGACCTTTCAGTCCACAGACCGACGATCTACCACTGAGCCAAACCGGCTTTGGCGAAATATATATTTTTTAAATTAAATTTATTGGGAACGGTGGTTACAACGAAAGTCCAGGTGCACACCATTATAATCTGACGTCGGCGAGCGCTACAGCGAGCTCTCCCCCGAGGCCAGTCTTCTCCACCCAGTTCACCCCACACCCTCCTGGGCAGCAGCCCCTTCGTTCTGTATCTGTGAATTTGTTTCCGTTTTGTTCCCTTCGCTTTTAGGTTCCACGTGTGAGTGAAACCATGTGGTGTGTGTCTTCCTGTCTGAACTAAGTCACTCAGTATAACAGCTCTGTCCCATCCAGCCATCCATGTTGTCACAGGAGTGAGATGTCATTCATTGTTATTTCTGAGAAATACTCCATGGTGTGGCCAAAACCGGTTTGGCTCAGTGGCTAGAGCGTCGGCCTGGGGACTGAAGGGTCCCAGGTTCGATTCTGGTCAAGAGCATGTACGTTGGTTGCAGGCACATCCCCAGTAGAGAGTGTGCAGGAGGCAGCTGATCAATGTTTCTCTCTCGTTGTTTCTAACTATCACTCTTCCTCTATATAAAAAATCAGTAAAATATATTTTTTAAAAATACTCTATGGTGTGTATGCATCACAGCTTCTTGTTAATTTCTTACTGATTTTAGAGAGAAACATGGATTGTTGTTCTGGTTACTTATGCATTATTGGTTGACTCTGCGTGTCCTGACCAGGGATTGAACCCCAACATTGCTGTACTGGACGGCGCTCCAGCCATGAGCTGCGGCCAGGCCAGCGCCCATCGCCGGCACGCGGGCTGCTTCCCGTCCTGGCTGTTGCCGGTGACGCTGCACGGACATAGGTGTGAGTGTCGTTTTGAGCTGATGTTTCCGTATTCCTTGGGTAAACACCCAGCAGAGGGACTGCCCGGTCATGTGGTCGCTGTTTGTAGTTGTTCTGAGGAAACGTCACGCTGTTCCCCGCGCAGCTGCACCAGCGGCGCGGCGCCCCCAGCGTGGCAGGCGCCTGTTCTCATGCCCACCCAGGGCTGGTTCTGTCTGACAGCCTTTCCGACAGGTGGGCGCCGGCGCCGTGGGGGGCGTTTGCCTTTTCCTAATCAGCCATGCTGAACGCCTCTCCATGTGCTTCTGGATGGAGCGTCCCACCTTGCGGTGTGGGCCTTCGGTCCGACGGGCGAGGTTTCCCCGGAAAGCCTCCGCGGTGGGTGCTGCCGCCGTCCCGGCCTGCGGGCTGCGGTCAGGCCCGTTGGGAGAGGTTGGTCGTGATGGATGGCCTTTCTCCGGATAGGACGTCCATCTTTGTCTCCTGTTACCTTTCTCACCTGACGTTTGTCCTGTCTGACGTAAGCGTGGCGGCACCTGCTTCCTCCGGATCTGAGAGCCGGTGCTAGAGTCCCCTCGTCCGAATCCGCAGTCTCTGGAGCTGGGGCCTGGCTCTGGCCGGCGGCTGCTCTGAGCCTGAGACGGAGCCGTCCGGTGCCCAGTGCTCTGGTGGCCACGGCAGCCCGTCCGCTGTTCCTCCGGTTCTGTCGCCGTGGGGGGGCCTTGCTCTGACGTTAGCTCGTGTCTCTTCTCCGTGTTTGGCGCCTCTGCTCTGGGTATGTGTCTCAGATACAGCCGTCCTTGTTCTGTCTCCGTCTGCCCACAGGCTCATGCCCCGCCCCCCCCCCCCCCCCCCCCCGGTATTCCTGTCACCTCCATGCTGTTCTCGGAGACTGAATGGAGCGGCTGTAGATTTTAAACTGCGAGAGGACGCGTACTGGGACAATCTGAGCGGCAGGAAAAGCAATTCCTAAACGAAACGGGCTTAGGGAACAAGTCAGAGCCACGGAAGGGCCCTGGAAGCCGGGAGCCAGGAAGCCGAGGGGCCTGGGGCAGGTGGGGAGGCAGGGCCGGCTCGGAGGGAACGCCAGCTGTGGCCACTTTAAGGCCCTTTGCCCTTCCCCTTTTGTGCTTAATTAGGTGCTTAACCCCATTCTGCCCGTTTGAAGGTAGAGGCTAGGAGCGCCCTGTCCACCTTGTCCACCTCCTCCTGAGGCTGGTGCTCCTGTGCTGAGCGCACCCTCCTCCCTCTGCTGCTCTCGCCAGGAACCTGGGGCCTGGGTTTCCTCTGGTGACGGCCCTCCGGCCGCCGGGAGGACTCGGTTTGTCCCTAACTTGTGAGTTTTTTACAGGGTCTTGTTACTTCCGGCTTTGAATATCTCCGGAATGTCTCCGTCTGCCCACAGGTGTCCCCACTGTCCCAGATTCTCTTTCCCTTTTGGATGATGGAGCACTCCCTCTCCATGGAGTCTTGTCTGTCTGTCCATCTGTCATCCTCCCAGGGGCTCGGCTCTGCCCCATCGCCCTGGGCGGCTTCTCATGGGGACCTCCGCTCCATGTCTGTCTGTCCTCTCACAGTGTCTGTCCCGGGTCAGGTGCTCACTGCGCGCTGGTGCTGTGTGAGTCTCAGGGGTCTTGCCGCTTCGTGGTGGCGGCTGTGCATTCTCTGCGTGACTGACCTGCTGTCTGGAGATGCGCTGTTTCCTGTGCTGCCGGTGGTGGGCACCGGTCTTCACCGAGGCGCGGTGGGCTTATGGTTCAGTCGTGGGCGACCACAGGTGGCTGAGGCCAGTAGATGGCGCTGTACACAAGGTGTGGTTCTACCTGCGCCTCCGGGGCAGGGAGTCCCTGTGGTCATGGGAGCCGCTGCCTGAGAGCTGGGCCACCCCGTCCTCCCGTGTCCCAGGAGTGGGGTCGCCTGCCTTTGGGGGCTTCTCTTCGTCGTCTGGTTTCTGAGATGTTGGGCCCAGTGGTCTCATGAGGAACCGAGACGGGCTCATGTGCTGTCCCGTGGGGTGGACACTTGGCCCTGGGGTCCATGCAGGGGGAGCTGTGGCTGTGGGTGCTGTGTGTGTGTGTGTGTGTGTGTGTGTGTGTGTGTGTGTGTGAGATGAGGGCAGAGATGTGTGTGTCTGTCAGCAGTGCTGAGGCAGAGACGGGCCGTGGAGTCCCCCGCCGAGCGGCCGGCTGGCTGCTGGAGGAGGGGTGTGCTGTGGGCCTGTTGACAGACAGACCGTCTCTGTGGGGACGGGGACAGCCCGCCATCGCCCCCGGGGGAGGGAGCCGCGGCCTGGCCTCTGCCCCCGTGGTGCGCCCGTGGGTGGGCTCCTGGCCGTGCTCTCCGTGGCCCCTGAGGCCCACAGACACAGGTGCCCCCGCGCCGCCCGCACAGCTCCGTGCCCGCCGCTTCCTGCGCTTCCCAGGCTGCACTGCTCTGGACGCCGTGCGGTCGGCCCGTTGTCCAGCCGCTGCCTCCAGGCCCTGCCCTTTGACCCCCGCGTTCGGAGGGGGCGCCCCCGCAGGGCCAGAGTAGCGGTGCCTCATGGAAGGAAGCACAGCCCGAAGGGCGTGGTCCCCTCCTAGGCCGCCCTGGCCTGGGATCTGCCCTGATGAGTGGGGGACCACCAGCCTCTGTGGTCCCTCCGACACCCCGGCCTGAGGCCCTGCTGACGTCGCCCCAGTCCCGAGGCTGCAGGCCGGCCTGCTGTCCCCGTCGCTGACCGCAGGGCTCCGTGTGGCCGGCAGGGCAGGGCACCAGGACCCGGGTGGTGGGCCCTACGGACCCCGCACAGTGTGTGCCCGCTCCGCCATCGACCCCTCCTGGCTCTGCTCCTGCAGGTACATGTCGCAGAACAAGCACGCCGAGGCCCGCGAGCTCATGTGCTCAGGGGCGCTGCTCTTCTTCAGCCACGGCCAGGTGAGCGGCCCCGGGGCTCCCCGGGGCGGGGCGGGCGGGCGGGCGCCCGGGCTGGCGCCTGTCGCCTGGGCTGAGGGCTGTCTTCTCGACACAGAGCTTTCTCTCTGACCACCTGGTTCTTGTCTGTCTCCACGTTTTGTAGCAAAACAGCGCTGCGGATTTGTCCATGCTGGTCTTGGAGTCGCTGGAGAAGGCGGAGGTGGAGGTGGCCAACGAGCTGCTGGGTGAGGCTCCTTTCACCGTGCGCATTCCGGGCGGAGTCTCACACCGCAGCCCCCCACACGCACCCCACACGGGGCGGCCGTCCCAGGGGTTCCTGCAGTGGCTTCTGCCCCCAGCTGTGCTCCACCCGCCGGGCAGGCTCCTCTGGGCATGGGAGGGCGCTCTGGGCCGCAGTGGGCCCAGCCGGGGGAGAAAGGGGGTCCCAGCAGGGAAGTGGAGGTGGTGTCTGAACTCGGGGCGTTGTAGGAAGCTGAGTCCGGTGCCCCCCTGAACAGGGCTCTCTCTCTGTTCTCAGAAAATCTGGCTAAACTGTTTAGTCTGATGGACCCCAACTCTCCGGAGCGCGTGGCCTTCGTGTCCAGGGCCCTGAAGTGGTCCAGCGGGGGCTCCGGGCGGCTGGGCCACCCCCGGCTGCATCAGCTGCTGGCCCTCACCCTGTGGCGAGGTAGGTCTGGGCACGTGGCTGGGAAGGGGCTTCTGGTTGTCACTGAGCTCCGCCATGGCCAGCGAGGACCCGTTCCCTGTCGCTGAACTGAGCCGCGCCACACGTGCCACCACCCTCGGTTGTCGCCCGGCAGGCTGCCCCGGCTGAGGCGGGGCTGTCGCCCGGCAGGCCGCCCCGGCTGAGGCGGGGTTGTCCCTGCCGGGCCCTGCAGAGCCGCCTCCACCGGACCCGTGGGGACGCTCCCGCGCACAGGGGCTGCTCTCACCGCCCGCCTCTGCTCAGCGTCCAGTCGTGTCCTGGCTCCGTCTGCTCGGCGCAGGGAGAGGCGGCGGGACGCACCGCTCAGTGCGGCTCCTCACGGTCCACGGCCGCGCCCGCCTGGTGAGGCATGTGCGTCAGTGCCTCCCGCCACCCCTCACGCCCCGGCTGTACGTGGGGACGCATGCGCCCCTGTCCTCACGGCTGCCGGAGGGGGTGCGGGGGCAGCCTGTGCAGGTGAAGCCAGGCCCTCCAGGTCCAGGCCGAGGCAGCGGCTCTGCCCTCCAGCAGCTGCCCGGAGCCAGCCTGCGAGCGAGTGTGCGATGGACAGCGGCGGCCAGAACACAGAGGCAGCCGCGGGGCCCCTCCTCCCGCCTCACGTCCTGTGAGCGCCTTTGCCTGCACCCGGGCCTGTCCTCCTGTCCCTGGGCCTCAGCCTGATGTCCGTCCCCCGGTCCTCACTCACAGCCTGTCTGTCTCCGCCTCTGCCCAGAGCCCTGTCCGGTCTCCCTGCCGCAGGGCCAGGATTCCTCCCGGCCACCCAGTCCTGCCTTCTCCTCGGGGAAGCGGGCGTGTGCAGGGTCCGGTGGAGCCACTCAGACCTGTGCTGCCAGCGGCATTTACTTGTCACCGGCTCCTGCCTGTGTCTGTGGGGCCGCCCCCGCCCCGCCCCGTGGCTGTGAAGTAGCGGGCACGGTGCGGCCTCAGCCGGACTGAGAGTGTGGGCATGTGTGTATCATAGTAACGGCTTGAAACCAGGACACAGGCCTCTTGTGCCCTGCTGTTGCAGGGCTGGGCAGAGGGTCCCGGCAGAGCGTGGCTGACAGCACGTGGCCGTCGCTGCACAGGCCGGGCCAGGACCCGGGAGGGGGTGCAGGGACCCCTGACTCGCGCGAGGATGCTCGGGCTGCCCTCCGCTGGCCCCACAGTGACAGCCGCTCCCTTTGCAGAGCAGAACTACTGCGAGTCCCGCTACCACTTCCTGCACTCGGCCGACGGGGAGGGCTGCGCCAACATGCTGGTGGAGTACTCCACGTCCCGTGGCTTCCACAGCGAGGTGGACATGTTCGTGGCCCAGGCTGTCCTGCAGTAGGTGTCCCGCAGCCTCTGCCCTGCTCCCACGGGCCCCGCACAGAGGGGGGTGCCCCCCCTGGAATCATGTGACATCCCACTGGGCCCTGCACGGACCCCGCTCCTCCCAGCTCTCAGGAGCGTTGCAGCTGGGCTTCTGTGACATTCCAGTTGAGCAGTGAGAGGAGGAGGTTTGTGTGTTTTATACCAACACTGGAAGCCCAGCGCACAAAATCGCACGGCCCCGCCCACCCACGTGCGCCTGGCTCTGCTCACGGCCAGTCCCCGTGCCCTCTGGTCACCATAGGGCATTGGGTGTTTAGGAACTAGGAGGTTCTTATGTTCCCGCTGGCTTTTGTTTGGTTCTGTCTTTATCCCCCATTATCTCTGTGCCTTTGGCAAGTGGTGTCAGGAGGATGGTGATGAGCAGTCTAAGCCATGCCTCGAGATGTGGTGTGAGCTGCGTTCAGAGGGTTTCTCAGAGGCTGTGTGGCCTCTCCGGACGCGTCTGCGTCAGATTTCCCTCTGAGCACACTCTGTCAGGCCCTCCCTGTTTTCTTTCCTTCCGTCTTTTTTTTTTAAAAAAAAATATATATATATATTTTATTGATTTTTTACAGAGAGGAAGGGAGATAGAGTTAGAAACATTGATGAGAGAGAGTCATCGATCAGCTGCCTCTTGCACACCCCCTACTGGGGATATGCCTGCAACCAAGGTACATGCCCTTGACCGGAATCGAACCCGGGACCCTTCAGTCCCCAAGCCGACGCTCTACCACTGAGCCAAACCGGTCCCGGTTCCTTCCGTTTACCTTGAAAGAGTGGGCCTCACCGCGGGGGACAGAGGTGCGGGGTCCCCTCGGCCACGCAGGGCAGGCACCCCCCTCGGCAGGGCCGCTGGCTGCAGGCGCTCTGCCTTTTCCCAGCCTGAGCCCGTCCCTCCTGACGGGAGCATTTCCCGTGGGACACGTGGACTTCCTCCCACAGACACGCCTGCCGTGTGGCCGGGCGCCGGGGCGGTGCCGTGTGACTGAAGGTCCTGCTCGCACGTCAGGCCCGACCGGCTGGCAGTGCCAGGCCCCCCTCCGCTCACTGTCCAGCTGGTGGTTCAGCAGACACCTCGGGGTGGGCCTGGCTCTGCATCGAGGGTCTGAGCCCCTTCTTGGGGAGCCCCCTTTGTGCCTAAAAACGTGACGCCTGCCCGCCTCCCGCCCGCCGCGGACGTGTCCTCCCTGGACCCTCAGGTCCTTGGCCCAGTGCCGGCAGGTGTGCGGACAGACTCATCCCGCCCTGTCCTCCCACGCGTGTCACCGCGTCACCGGGGGCGGGAAGCCCGCGTGCTCACGCAGGGATCGGCGGGCCGGGAGTGCGCGTCCCCCACGTGGCCTGTCCCCGTGTGACGGCGTGTGCTCGCCCCAGGTTCCTCTGCCTGAAGAACAAGAGCAGCGCGTCCGTGGTGTTCACGACGTACACGCAGAAGCACCCGTCCATCGAGGACGGCCCTCCCTTCATGCAGCCCCTGCTCAACTTCATCTGGTTCCTGCTGCTGGCCCTGGACGGGTGAGGGGGCGTGTGCGTGTCTGTCTGTGTGTGAGTGAGGGGGCGTGCATGTGTGAGTGAGGGTGGGGGTGAGTGAAGATGTGTGTGGGGAGTATGCATGGATGTGTGAGCGTCTGCAGGAGTATGTGGGTGTGTAGGTATGTGTGAGTGCATAGATGTGAGCGTGTGCGGGAGTATGGGTGTGTGTAGGAGTGGGGTATACATAGATGTGTGAGCGTGTACAGGGGTCTGTGGGTGTGTAGGTATGTGTGAGTGCATAGATGTGAGCGTGTGTGGGAGTATGGGCACATGTAGGTATGGGGTGCATAGATGTGTGAGCGTGTGCAGGGGTCGGTGTATGTGTGTTGGTGTGCATGTGTGGGAGTGAAGGTGTGTGTGCGAATGGAGGGTGTGGGTGTAGGGCTATGAGTGGGTGTTGGCGTCTGCGTGGGGTGTGGGGGCCATTTCTGTCCTCCACCCACGCCTCCCCCGTGTCCGGAGACCACAGAGCTGTCCCTGCTGTCTTGTTTCAGAGGCAAACTGACTGTGTTCACGGTGCTGTGTGAGCAGTACCAGCCGTCCCTCCGGCGGGACCCCATGTACAACGAGGTGAGGCTGCGGGCCTTGGGCTGGGCGGAGGGGCCTCCCGTGGAGGGCGGTGGGGCCCCGGCCCGTCCCTCACATGTGCCTCGCTCTGTCAGTACCTCGACAGGATAGGACAGCTCTTCTTCGGGGTGCCGCCCAAGCAGGCGTCTTCCTACGGAGGCTTGCTAGGTAAGGCCCGCGGGGCAGGGCCGTGGAGGGGGCCACAGGGCCGGCTGCCCCCCTGTTCCTCCCCCCTACACCCCCAACCCACGCCCGGGAAGAAGGCAGATCTCTTCTCAGCTGTGTGTGGTGATGGGCACATGACGTGACTGCCGTTCTCACCGCCTCCGAGTGCCGTTCAAGGCCCGTGTGGACATTCACGTCTAGCCCCTGCGCCCGCTCCCCCTGCACCCGCTCCCCCTCCGCCTGCCCTGCCCCCCCCCCTCCGCCTGCCCCGCTCCCCCTCCGCCTGCCCTGCCCCAGCCCCTGTGCCCGCTCCCCCTGCAACCGCTCCCCCTCCGCCTGCCCTGCCCCAGCCCCTGCACCCGCTCCCCCTCCGCCTGCCCTGCCCCAGCCCCTGCACCCGCTCCCCCTCCGCCTGCCCTGCCCCCCCCCTCCCCCTGCACCCGCTCCCCCTCCGCCTGCCCTGCCCCAGCTCCTGTGCCCGCTCCCCCTGCACCCGCTCCCCCTCCACCTGCCCTGCCCCAGCCCCTGCACCCGCTCCCCCTCCGCCTGCCCTGCCCCCCCTCCCCCTGCACCCGCTCCCCCTCCGCCTGCCCTGCCCCCCCTCCCCCTGCACCCGCTCCCCCTCCGCCTGCCCTGCCCCAGCCCCTGTGCCCGCTCCCCCTCCGCCTGCCCTGCCCCAGCCCCTGCACCCGCTCCCCCTCCGCCTGCCCTGCCCCAGCCCCTGCACCCGCTCCCCCTCCGCCTGCCCTGCCCCCCCCCTCCCCCTGCACCCGCTCCCCCTCCGCCTGCCCTGCCCCCCCCTCCCCCTGCACCCGCTCCCCCTCCGCCTGCCCTGCCCCAGCCCCTGTGCCCGCTCCCCCTGCACCCGCTCCCCCTCCGCCTGCCCTGCCCCCCCCCTCCGCCTGCCCCGCCCCAGCCCCTGCACCCGCTCCCCCTCCGCCTGCCCTGCCCCCCCCCCCCTGCACCCGCTCCCCCTCCGCCTGCCCTGCCCCCCCTCCCCCTGCACCCGCTCCCCCTCCGCCTGCCCCGCCCCAGCCCCTGCACCCGCTCCCCCTCCGCCCGCTCCGGCGGCAGCACCCTTTCAGGCTCAGTCCGTGGGCGTCACATGCACGTGTGTTTCTTGTGGGACATGGGCCAGCTCCCGCCATTGGCTCCGTGAACATGGGTGTGCTGTGTCTGAGGCCTCCTGTGCGTGGGTGCAGGCCCTGCCGGGAGCTGCCGGGCCCACGTTGGTTCCGTGTCACTGGCAGCTGCTGCCCCACAGCGTTCCCCCAGGTGCGGGCGGGAGCCCAGGTGTGAGGGCCTCGTGGTGGCCGACTCGCACGTCCCTTTTCACGGGCTCCGTGGCCATCCGTGTGTGTCCGTGCAGCCACGTGACCTTTTAGGATTGGGGGTGTTGTCAGGAGGACGTGGGAGGCAGGGGTCAGGGGGATCGGGGCCTCAGACGAGCATTTGCTTCCAGGCAATCTTCTGAGCAGCCTCATGGGCTCCTCGGAGCAGGAAGGCGAGGACAGCCAGGACGACAGCAGCCCCATCGAGCTCGACTGACGCCCGCCTGCACGGAGAGGCGCCTGTCTGGCGGCGGGTTCGAGGGCCTGGCCGCGCTCCCAGGCCGCCGTGGTGGTGTGGCCGCCGGCGTGCCTGGCTGAGGGCGCGGGCTGAGCGTGGCCTCGGGTGACCCACAATAAAGCACAGGCTTGCGCGCCAACCTCTCCGTCCTTTGTTGGGGTTCACTCTGGGTGCCGCGGGTCACAGGCCCGGGGCGGGGGTGCCACCGGCCGCCACGTGGATGCCTGTGCCAAATCCTGAGCCGTGCCCGCACGACGGCATCGCAGACGTCGGCGCTGCCGGACGCCGCCCGCCCGGGACGCACTATTTATTTCCTGGTGACGACTCTTCCCGCAGCCTTTGTTCAGGTGCCCGCCCCGAGCAGCGCCCTCGCTCCACCAGAGGCCCGGTGATGCCGGGACACTTTATTTTTTCACGATTAAAGTCAGAGTTGTAGATTATTACACAGCGATCATGCATGAAGGAGCGGACCAGACCTTCTATTGGCTGTAAAATGGAACTTAAAGGGATGTGTTCATTGTTGAATTTCAGTAAATTCTTTCTACTGGGCTTGGCTGTGCTGTCCTTCCTGGGCTGGGCGGGCCGGGCAGAGGGGGGCAGCTCTGGCCATGGGAACCTCTGAGCCGGAGGTTCAGTCACAGCTTTGTGAGCAGCCGGGGAGTCGTTGGCGCTGGCGGGCCCTGAGGTTGGAGCCCCTCCCAGCTGCACAAGGGTTCTCGGGATGGGGGGGAGCGGTATGGGGAAAGTGGGGTGCATGATCAGAGCCCACAACAACTCCCTAGTCTCGCCAGGTTTGAAACCATGAACTGCACCCAATGGGGTAGGTTTGGGACAGAGCAGAATGCAAGTCTGCGACTGCTCAGGGCTGATGCTGAATCCACAGCGCGTTGGGCAGCTGTGCACAACAGGCCAGGCACCCCTTAGGGTCTGCTTGCCTCTCCCTCCTCGGCCCCAGGACCCCAAGTCCCAGGCTACAGCTGTCTGTCCTGACCACGTGGCCTGGGCCGGCAGCACCCGGGGCAGGGAAGGGGGCTGGGACGGTGCCGACACTAGGGAGCACGGGTGTGCCCGTGTCCACCAGAGGCCCAGCCGGCGGCTCCGTCAGCACGGGGCTGAGGCCAGGACGGCTGTTTGCACGGAGCCTGCATTTGACTCCTCTGCCCACCACTGGGATGGCCCCGCCCACCAGCCCTGTGGGCAGGTCTCCGCCCTCCCCCAGGCTGAACGCTGCCCTCCGACTCCTCGTCAAGTTGTTGGTCTCCTGGGGCACAGACACGCTTACAGACACGCTCAGGCTCAGACACTTGTGCCTCTGGCTTCAGGGCGGGTCTGGGTTGGTTGAGGGGGCGGTTGCAGCTGGCCCTGCCTGGTGGGGCCTCAGGGTCGGACCCAGTGAGTGAGGTGGACGGCAGGGCTGCCGGTTCTAAGGAAGGACCCACGACTGCCGCTCTGGGTGGGGCACCTTGGGCAGGAAGTGTTCGCTCCTACTGGCCATCCTGAGAACCTGCCCCGGCCGAGCTGGCCAGCAGGAGTGGGCTCAGGGAAGGAGGAGAGCAGCCCCTGGAGCCCCCACCTGCACCTAGGTGACTCCACGTCCTGGGCACGCCCCCTTCCTGCTGTGGGCAGGTCCTGGGCTCGGCCCACACAGCCTCCAACACACGATCAAGCCACAACACAGCCCACTTTATTCCAGGCTGTGACGGGCTGGAGGGGAGCAGACACCCCACTTTGAGGAGCTCCCCCTGGCCTGGGCTCCCCTGGGGGCCATGGTGGGCTGGACAGGACGAGGGCTGGGGCTGGAGGCAGACAAGGTGTCTGGAAGGTGACCTCTCCGCCTCACCCAGGCACTGGGCCTCCTGGGAAACGGGGCCCCATGCCACCCCCTCCTCCCACACCTGTCCTCACAGACACCCTCCACGGTGGGGAGCCAGGGCACCTGGGACGTCTGAGGCTGTGACTGCTCCACAGCAGCTCGCTGGGGCCCGGGGAGCTGAGCTCAGGCCTGCCTCCTCCAAGGGGTCAGAGCAAGGTCAGGCCTGGGATCGGGGGTCCCTGGGCAGCGCTGAGCCCTGAACTGAGCCTGTGAGGTGCCCCAGGGGCTGGGCGCTCGGTGGGCCTCTGACCCCAGGACCCATGGCTTGAGGGCCAGGTCTCTGTCCCCCCCTTCGGCCCCCAGACCCAACGACTCGCACAGCAGAGGCTCAATAAATACTTGTTGGGGAGGGGAGAAGGGAGGGGCCAGGGAGGGGCCGCACAGGGGCCTGCAGGCCACCGGCTGCCCCACAGCCCAGCCTCCTGGTCGGTGGGTCCTGCTGGGGAGGGGGAGGGATGGTAGGGGAGGACGGGTGGTCAGTGGGCCGGGGCGGGCAGGGAGGGGACAGCAGCATAATGGGGTCAGAGGTCATACAGGTTGGCCCACGATGAGGTTTTGAGAAACAGGTCCCGGTGGTGAAGGCTCAGGGCCCCGCGGAGCCCAGACAGCCCCAGGCCTGAGCCTGGGCCTGAGCCCGGGCCGTCCTCGGCTGGAGGCCGCTTCCTGGGTCCACGGCCCCCGGTCCGCAGCCCCTCGGTCAGCAGCCCCGCGGCCTGCCGGCGAGTCCAGGCCAGCGCTCTAGGGCTTGTGTTTGAAGTGAGCTTCCACTGGCAGAGGGAAGGCGCGGGGCTTGGTCACAGCCGAGCCCTCCGCCAGTGATGCCGGGCCCTCCCCTTCCTCCCCAAGCCCCCCTTAGCTCAGTGTCTCCCCGCCCCCCCCCCCTGCCCTGCCGGACTCAGCCCGGCCCCTGTCTTCCGCCAACCCTGCCCGGCCTGGTCCCACCACCCCTGCCCCGCCCCGCCCTCACCGCCCCCCCCCCCCCCCCGCCTCACCGGCCCCGCCCTCACCGCCCCCCCCCCCCCCCGCCTCACCGGCCCCGCCACTTCGGCCCCGCCCCGGCCCCGCCCTCACCGCCCCCCCCTCCGAACCCGCCCGGGCCCCGGCCCCGCCCCGGCCCCGCCCCGGCCCGCCCCTCCGGTGTTCCCCCGCCCCCGGCCCCGCCCGGCCCCGCCCTCACCGGCCCCCGCCCCGCCCCCGCCCTCACTGGCCCGCCCCGGCCCCGCCCTCACCGGCCCCGCCCTCACCAGCCCGCCCCTCCGGTCCCCGGCCCCGCCCCCGCCCCGCCCCCGCCCTCACCGGCCCGCCCCGGCCCCGCCCTCACCGGCCCGCCCCTCCGGTCCCCGGCCCCGCGCCCGCCCTGCCCCCGGCCCCGCCCTCACCGGCCCGCCCCTCCGGTCCCCGGCCCCGCCCCTGCCCCGCCCCCGGCCCCGCCCTCACCGGCCCGCCCCTCCGGTCCCCGGCCCCGCCCCCGCCCTGCCCCCGGCCCCGCCCTCACCAGCCCGCCCCGGCCCTGCCCTCGCCGGCCCCGCCCAGGCCCCGCCCAGGCCCCGCCCCGCAGGCCCCGCCCTCACCGCTCCCGGCCCCGCCCTCACCGGCCCCGCCCTCACCGGCGTACTCCTGCGGCAGCATGGGCCTGTCCACCACCTTCCGGAAGGCCTCCACCCACGCCCGCTGCTCCGGCTCCGTCTCGCAGGCCAGCAGGAACCGGCGCTCGGGCGTGACGATGGTGATGCCGTGGGGCCAGTGGTGGCCCTGGGTGGACGGCGGGAGCCCGTCCAGCACCGTGTAACCGCACTCGCTGCTGCCGATGAAGACCTCCCCCCGGGCGAAGGCGTCCTGCGGGGGGCACAGGCTGACGGCGGCCCCGGTCCCCAGGTGCGGGGGCCCCGGCTGGACCGAGCCCTCCCTCCCGCACAGCGCCGCCCGGGCCCGGCCTACCAGCGGGTCCTTGAAGTACATGAGCCTCCGGTCGTCCATGGTGAACCAGCGCCGGCGGAAGCCCTCCGTCTGCTGCGGGCAGAGCGGCGGGTCCGGACGCGGCCCTCGCCTCGCCCCCGCCCCGTCCCCCGCCCGGGCGCGGGCCTCCTCCTGCTCCTGGGGCACTGCCCCGGCCTGGCACCGGCCGCGTCCCTCCCCCCACGCCCGGCCTGGCCGCCGCCACGTCCATGGCCCCCGCCCCGACACCCCCAGGACTGAGGCCGAGCGGGCGGCCGGCCTGGTGCGCACCTTGGGCCCGGTCTTCTCCATGTAGCCCTCCTTCAGGTAGTTCCTCGTCAGCTTCGGCACCAGCTGCGGGGAAGGTCCTGCTGTGCGGCTGGCCCCCTCCCGGCCCTCCCCGCGGCCTGGGCAGAGCTCGGGACAGAGGAGGGCGGCGAGGCCGCTTCCGGGCCACAGAGGTCAGGGCACCGGTGGGGGCCACAGGTGGGGTGGGGCCTCTGGGTCCGGGTGCCCGTGGCCAGCCCGCCCCGCCCGGGCCCGGGGCAGCCACTCACCTCGGCGTCGCTGGCGCCCGGGAAGGCCACCTGCAGGTAGTGGAAGCGGGCGGCCCGCAGCGCGTTGAACCAGTCGGCCATCTCCTGGGGGCGGAGAGGGTGCTGCAGCCGCTGAGGCCCCACGGCCCCCAGAGCCCGCCCTCCCCGTGGCCTGGCCCAGGGGCTGAGCATCACCCAGGAACCGGCGGGGCGCCTGCCCGGGTGTCGGTTTGACCCCCAATGTAGGGCATGTAGGAGGCAGCCGGCCGTGATTCTCATCACTGATGTTTCTCTCTCTCCCTTCCTCTCTGACATCAACAAA